ATATTGATACCTAAAGCAAAAACATAATCTCAAAGCCCATCAATAAACAAAGAAGCTGCTAACAACTAAGAAGAATATTCCTACTGCTATAACAAGTATTTCTTTGTTAATTGATTTATCCACTTGCAACAGGTTCTACAACTTTAAGCCAAGTGCTTATAGTCGAGACGTGAAGTTATGTAACTGTTTGGATGAGATGGATGAGAAAATTGAAACCACTAATATAAATAAGTGCGTTGTAAGGGATTAAATAGTGAGCCAGCAAGGTGCCTGTGATTGGCTGGTACCCGTTGCCTTCTTCGGTTGGATCGGTGAGGTTTAGTAATGATCATTGATTTCGATCTGGTTAGCCAATCAGAGGCTTGGTAAGCTCAACGCTAAGCTAAGCTAACTGACTGTGGCTTCATATTTACTGGGCCTCTGCTCACGCGCGAGAGAGTGATATTTTGATGTGCACGTGCGCAAACACACGTGAAACTTCAGAGACAATCTGCCTCTCGAACACGGCAACACATGGATGGTGACTCATGTTGTGGTAACAGCCCCTTAGCAGCCAAAGGGGACTGGGCACACTGTTTATGTTTCTCACCGCTTATCCTGCTGCTTCCTCCCCCCATCGCCGAGCGCACACACACACACACACACACACACACGCACACACACACCCAGCAGGTCGTGTGCCCTGCCTTTCTCTGAGCCAGGTATAATCGCATCTTTGTGTTAATTGGAGTGACTAGATTTTGAGGGCTAGCAGATCTGGTGATAATTATTGCAGCAAACACAGACGGAACCTGAGCCATGAATCGGTTCCTTGTATGATAGACGTCGTCTCTGTGCTTTCAACCCAGTGGGAGGGCCCAAAATCATGGCACACATTTTGGAAGAGATAACCCTTAAGCTATAAAGTATCTTAACAGCAGGAGAATTGAGAGGTTGGGGAGACATGAGCAGCCGTAGCGCGAGTCGGAGGCTGTTAGGAGCTGGAAAAGCGCTTGGGCCTGTCTGCGGAAACACAGCCATCTGCGTTTGGCAGGCTGCTGTTTTTAAGTGAGGAGAAGCAGCACAGAGCTTCGCTCTCTCACACTGAACAGGAAGAGGGAGACGTTGCCGGCACACGCCGTGCGCTTCTGATTCTGTGACCAATGCAAAAACTTCAATCTCCTCAGCAGTGGTCTCCTTTGTTGGCAGTAATGATCCTAATGACAGCCCATTCAGACAGCTGACTCACAGCTGCATCTCCTCCTCCTGCCTGCACACGACAAAAAAGACACTTGCGCCCCCTCATTCAAAGTCCTTCTTTCTCTGGGCTGGGGAGGGACACCGACAACGGCAAACGTCTGCAACGTCGAGCATGTGAGGCGCATTCACACATCCGGTAAGCCAGTCGTCAACAACTTGTTCTGTCGAGGCCCCCTTTGAGGATAGAGGGACATTGTGAGACCTCCGACCCAACCGCACCCCCCCAAAACAAGCAAAGAAAATGCAGATGTTAATGTATCGAGACTAAGGTTTTTTAGGGTTGGTGATGAAGCCACAACCAGCCGGATGGCCCACCGCGCCGCGACCCCCCACCCTTGTTTGGGAACCACTGCAGTAAGCTATCAACAGCTCTTCTCTTAGACACACACTCGGTTCATGTGTGACGTCAGGCAATCAGAGCTGCTGCCTAAGCCTTAATCGTTTACGAGTTTAGAGGCCTTCTGATCTGTATCGCAATCATCCGTAAGGCTTCCTAAAATGAATGGCAAAAGTGTGTTCTAGAGACACGTAAGTACAATCGTGCTACTGCTGGCACAAAGAAATTGGTGAAAGTCCGCTATGCTGAACCTGAAAGGACAAAAATCTTCTGGGTCCCCAGATTCATCGTAAAAAACATGGGCCGAGAGGGTAGATGACCAGTGAGCGATGCAGGGAACTGATGTTGGGCTTTTATTGTGAAAGGTAAAACAGGAGAAACTAACTAACTGTTATGTGAAACACTGCAATAAGAAAAGAAATGTTGCCGCCTGGTTCAGCGCTGGATCGAACACACAGCCTCCTGTTTTTTATTGTATTATCTGCATAGGTTTAGATGCAACTGGGCTAAATAATCTTTTGGCTGGGTGTCAGTAGCCTGTGTGCAATGCATCCTGGTACATGTAGGCTCTGTCACTAAGGCTTCGTGAGCATTGGAATCATCACTGAATGGACATCTAGGTGGTGAATCATTTCCCCTCAACAAAGCCGTCTCACAGCTTTACAGTTGCAGGTTAGTTTTGTCTTATTAAAACAAGTCTTTGCACCACAGATGTTTCGATTGATGGTGTATTTGGATGCTGAAAGATTCATGTGTAAAAAAAACGATTTTCTCCGTTTTCCTCTAACGCTGTCAAAGCACATGGAGCTCGCTGCCCTGCCAGTCATTTGAACTAGATCAGATGAGCAACAGACCAATGCACATTTAGCTGTCAGCGGAACGATCCATAGGAGATTATTTTTAGATTGTGGACACTAATCCGGTGAGATCTGCACGCATTGGGGAAAGATAAGAGAACAAATGAATCCTCCAATTTCTGTAGTTTTTAGAACGTATTTAGGTGAATGGATGTCACATGTAGGATATTGGTTCGATAACGCTGGTCAGTTCGACCAATCAGAGAACCAACCAAAGGAGCCAGATAAGAGCTACGTAAGTGGGCATTCAACGTCTTTATAAAATCTCTTATATAATTAGAAATGTCAGAATATGCGTGCGACTGGGTGGATGATGTACGTGTAAACAGCAGTACAACATTAGCAAGATTTCTGAGGGAGAATTATAAAGATGACTCTTTGTTTAAGAAAAATAAGATTATCTTTTATCACTATAGATGCTGTATAAAACAGATTAACAGGATAATCACTATGGTTGCATTGAATAAAACAGTTAAGCGTCTTTTAGTTCTCTGTGAAATAGGACGGCACACAGAGGTAAGATTAATGCTACGACCTCGTTGATAGTGTGCATGTTCTACACCTTTCAGGTTTCAGCAAAATAGTTCTGCTCTGTGGTCACACAAAAATAAAAGGAAATGCTCTGTATGTCTGTATGTGTGTGATTTTGATATGTTTTAAGTAGAGTGCACAAATGTGCACGGGGAAATAAAACGGATTTAAGAAATTGAGTCCCGTGACTTATTTCCGCTGCAGCCCAGTGTGATATGTGTGTGTGTTTGTTCTTTGCAATAACCGCTCATTGGGTCTTCTTTACACTTGCCCAGCGTATTGCTGAGGTGCAAATTGGAAACGCGTCACATCATCGCTTTCATTATTATTAAACTTTGAATAAAACAAGCTATGGAGTCCACGTGGACGCATTGCGCATTACGAATGGCCACGCCCCCTCACAACACTACAAACAGCCATATTGGAGAACTACAATTGTAAAAACACAACCATTTATTATACAGTAATAAGTAATGTGGAAAGATAGTAATGGCATAAAATGAATGGTTGTATTTAGCGTAGAATTAGCAAGAATGTTTTTATGAGAAGTGGCCAGCATAAACCTCTGCAGAAAGTCTCTTCCTGTTAAAGGACTCAACATTTCCTCACTTAGAGGAGGGTGGACTTCTTTTAAAAGAAACACGTTCTTGGCTTAAGGCGAAAGCAAACTGCACCACAATGTGTGAAATCATTTTTTTGTCTGCGACCTATGCAACACACTATGCAACACACTATGCAACACACTGGCACAAAGTGCAGACACTAACTTTGGCGCGTGGGCGAGCTTTCCACCTTGTAGTGCTATGATTTAACGCGGCCCATCATTCACTTTGGAGGCCTGGAAACAAACAGACAGGCCGATCGATTTCTCCCACCGGGTTGGAGATTGCCAACCAAACCCAAAGGACTCGAATCCTTTGGGTTTTCATACAGAGGAAATGACGGCTCTCATCACGTGTCGTGCAACAGCGAATGTCTGCTGTACAGTCACCTGGTCATAGTCGTCTTATGGTCTCCACCATGAATTCCTTCTGCGCCCTTCACCACTACACACTTTAGAACCGGTCTCCTCGGTGTTATCATTCAGATCAGCCCAAATGTTGCGATGTTTTCACTACATCGTAATGTTTGTCTTCACATTTGTCACTGTAGATATTTCTGTGCATTAACACTTTTTGAGTTAATGTTGTCAGAAGCACTAGAAGCTAAATGCCGCTGACTTAAAGTCCCGGTGAGCTGACGCTCCCCTTTCAGTGCTACACATTAGCCTCCCTCAGCCTGCTTTTCACAAATCGAATGCCAAAGCAGTGATTTCTTACTATTTGCATTGGTAATGACTGTAACCTGAAATGGCATCAATCGTTATTTAAATGTTAAAAGTATACAGCACATTCAGACGTCTGTACGCACCAAGGCCTTTTCCTGATGCTTATAGGCCCGCTCCGTTTTCCTTTCTAGTGCTTGTAATTGAATTGGCACTATAGCCTCCATCATTTCCCTCACGGGACTAAGCCATAAGGTGACAAATCAACAAATTGCACCGAGAGAAAAAAAAACGTCAGTGCTACATTGCTGCAGTGGCACATTTGTGATATCACAGGGGACACGAGTCAAGGAAAAAGGCCCAGCGACAAAACCTCTTTTAATTATCCATTTATCAGCGGGTCTCCAGTCAGTAGGGTTTCCTTGTTTTAAGACTCTGTACCTTCGCTCTGGTTCTACACCGGCTCTACACGGCGGGGGAAGAAACCCCTCCTGTAATAAAGTGATAGGTTGTTCCGTTAAAGTCTGAATTATAGTAGTGGATTCCTCAGGCAGAATGTGTGTTTGTGTCTGCGTGACTGCATGTGCATGTGAGCACACGCTGTGGCTGATGCCCCCCACTGCAAGCACATTAACACACCCTGGAGGAATGGATGTGGGGGGCAGTGCATGGCCTAGATGTACATGAGGAGGATGGATGGGAGGGTTGAAAGGACATATGATCCCATATACAGATCTGTAGAGATAGATAGATAGATGGATAGATAACTCACATTCCAGGTGCTTTTTCTTCGGAGCGGTCTGTTCATGTGTGGTGGCTTTACACACAACTCGGGCGACGTCGGATCCCGTCAGGCTGTACTGCGCCGCGGCGATGCGGTCCGTCAGCGTCTGACCCGACATCTTCTCTCTCTTTGGATTCAAGCTGCTGCTACCGAGCGTGTGCTTATGGTCCTACCCCCCCCACACACCCGACCACCACCACCACCACCACCGGCCCCCGCCTTCCCCCCAGGCCCACCTCCAAACCGGAATAGACGACCGGCCTCAGTAGTCCCAGCCGCCCTCGAAAGCACCGCAGGAGCACCGCGCCGAGGAGGAAAGAGCCGCGCGCTTCCTACAGGACTGCGAATGATACGAGTTGCATAACAATGCTGCGATCGGATGATCTCCAGTCAGTTCAGCGCTGACCTTCTTCCCTGGAGACCAGCGTATTCCTTATCATGTAGTTATATACAGGCGAGCTACAACATCCCACTGAAAAACCCTCGTCCAGGTCGTACATGTGAGGCTTCTCTTGTGTTGTGGCTCAGTTCCGTGTTATCAATCGGCTTCTCACAAAAACGCTCCTCTCCGGATGATGCGTGTCGCTTCCTCCAGCCTCCTGGATAATCCCCACCACGACCACCAGTTCGACGGTCCTTGTGTATCAGCGGGGCGTGTGGCGGAACATCAGCTCCTGGATGGCAGCATCATCATCACCGTCATCATCATCTCCCACCATCCACTGCAGCGGGTTTTCCTCCTCTTCCTCGCGCGTCGGTTTCTCTCTGTCAAGTCAGCCTGCAAGCCCCTCAGATGCGCGCTTCAGCCCGGGTCGTTGGATGGCGGCGCCCCTGGTGGATTTACATCCGCTTGCTTATTTCATTATTAAAATATTTAGAATTTCTCATCCCGCCCCGCCTCCTTCTCCGAGTCAGGTGACGCAGCGTCACCAACCACTGCCGCTGCCCCGTTTCATCGCGAGAGCTGGGTGGAGGTTGTGGATGCACAGCCGGGCTTGATTCGTGTCGGTTCTCTAGCGCACCGTGAAGGTCACACGAAGCTCGCTGCCTCGAATAACGCTGCTCTCTGCAGCTCGCGCGAGGCTGCGGGCAGGCAGCACGTGTCGCTGTCCGTGGTGCTGATGCGGATCACTGCTTTGGGATCAATTGAATGACATTTAACCTTTTCTACGAAGGCAATAGATTGAAATCATAACGTTTCAATCAAATTCAACGGAGTAATTTCTTACACATATTTTGTAGTTTGTGCTTTAAAAGTTTGAAAAAAATATTTTTTAAATTTGAACCATCCAAAACTACTTGAACAACCATGTATTGTTTGCTAGTTTACTGCATGGTTCTCCTCCCATGGACCAAGAAGAAGTTCCGCTACACAAACATCTACCATATTGTACTTTATTAACAATTATTTGTAGGGGAGCAAATGGGTTGGGACCCACTGGTTTAATCTTTAACATTGTATATCATGACCTGAAAATACTATTGCTGTCAAATACAAGCTGTGAACAGTCAAGTATGTGCCATTGACCACATCAACGCATGCAGCTCAGGTCTTCATCGCGGAGGACACAACGTGTCACAGCAGGAAAGGCACAGGGGTAACGGAGGAATTCCATTTAGCGGTTTCAGATTTTGGAAGCGGGTTGACTAAATGCTGTCACAGACATTTGGAGGATGAGTGTCTTCCACCTATAACAAGTCAAAATGCGTGCAGTTAAAAAGGGCTGTTTGACGTGCTTGATAGTTAGATGTGCTAAATCTGTCTAGCCATATGGACACAGCCAGCCACATAGACACAATACCTGTAATCCCAAACAAAACATAATTAGAAGATACACTAGAGCACGTGCATAGTGTCAATGCAATTTTAATCTCATGACAACAGTGAGGTCACATCTTGCCCTCCCATTACAAATCTTTATTAAGTCACGTCGATATGGAATGGCACAGCATCTTCACTTTGTTCAAAAGGATTCACATAAAATGTTAAAAGTCAGTCGTCAAAGCTGCTCCATATATACAAATAATTAAAATGAAATACAATAGTATTTAAAAAGTGAAATAATCATAAATACAAAAAAAATTTACAAACTATATTTTCCCGATTTGTATTTTCCTTGTTCTTTAATGTACAAGTTGGGGATTTTTCACTAGTGTTGATAAATTGCGTGTTAATTGTCCTCCCTCCTCCCTGTGTGTGCGTTTTCACGTCTTGATGAGTCCTTCTAGAAAGTCCTTTTCCACCATTTCCTCGATGTTCTGTCGAGCTCGACTCCAGAAGACTTTCTGGCTCTCCAGTTTGTGGCCCTCCTTGTGGCCGGGGAAGGAGCCGTCTGCGGGGTTGTGGGCGTAGGCGGGGCCCGTGCGGCAGCTGGCCTTGCTGGTGAACACCTGGCTGAGTAGGTTGAAGAAGGGCAGAAGCTGCTCCATGCTGCGGATGACGTAGAGGGTCAGCATCAGGTGGCCCGGCTCCCAGGACAGCGTGCGGGTGGAGCAGTCCTCCTCTGGGTTTTTCTACGGGAAGGGGAAATGTATTAGAAAAATGTATGCGTCTTTCTGAAATGAAATGGTCTGGAGCTGGAACTGCGCGTACTCTCATGTCATTTCACTCCATTTTAATAACTTTGTGTACCCAGGGGGCAGAGGGGGGTGGGATACCTTGGCTCGTTTCCTCAGCAGCTTGGCCAGTCGGACCACGTAGGGTTTAAACTCCCTCTGGTGAGTCCCCTGGCGTCTCACTTCCAATCCTGAATCGTCTGAAGCCTCTGGGATGAAAGCCCAGCGGTACCTGTAATGAGACAGGACACGATCAGGAATACACGAGTTATCAAATTAATAAGTCAGAGTTTTAAAGGATTCATGCATTCGTCCGTACGAAATGGTGGCAGGCTGGCATTTTTAGCTAATTATCTCTGAAACAGGTTCCATAAACCAATCACAGAGGCAACTGTGAACAAGGCTCGTCTGCACTGACATTTGAAACTGAGGCAGGCTCTCGGGAGGCAGGGCCAGAGCCAGGTCCAGGAGCTTGCAGGCAGACAGATAGAGGTTGAGCCACCGCTGGCTGTTGTAGGAGGTGGAGAAGCCATTCCCACCAGAATAGGTGGTCTCTAAGCCGGCCACGGATGGCCCTGACGTCCTATGGGAGGACAGGAGAGGATAAATCACACAGGCAGAAGTGAATTTATTATGCTGCGCTCCAACTCTGTATTATGAACAGACAACACACCTTGATATGTCTTCATCTGCCGTTAGCTCCTGCTCCATTAAAAGAAACACCTGAACCTGCAGGGAAACACATGTAGAATGTGTAAATGAGTGTAAATAAAATATTTGGAAAGGGCTGAAAGGAAGAACAATGGAAAGATAACAAGTGAGCCAAAAGGGAGAAAGCCTGCAGTCAGCGACGTCCAGGTCTCACCAGCTCAGTGATCATGGTCGGCCACAGCGAGGTGAGGTGCTGGGGGGACATGCGCAGCAGCAGCACTCTGAAGAACAGGAACACCTGAGCATGAAGGATGGGCACCTGCGGCAGACGCAGGCTCTCCACCAGACGCTCTGAAAACACACAAACCGTTAAGTATCTGCTCAGCTCAGTTAAATATGCAGGTGAATAAACCAAGTATAGACCTCAGTATACGACACGGGTGCATGTAGAATACAGCGCAGCGTTTACCTTGTATGTCAGGCAGGTACTTCTGGTACTGGTCCACTTCACTGCTGTAGATGGTGAAAGCCAGGCGTTTGAGCAGCATGGCTCTCTGCTCCAGCTCAGCATCTCTGTTAGTGAACAGACTCAGAGAGCTGCTCTGAGCTACAGCCACCCGAGCTGAAGGGGAGCACACAGTCAATGTCTGTCCATCTAGTATCCATTTAACAAGTAAATACTACTATCCAAAGGAAGGATCAAAAGGATAGTAGGTCTTCTAGGTTTTAAAGCTAAAATTGATGAAAATAGGAAATTTGTGATATTGGGCATTAGCTATGTCACACACACACACACACATTTTTATTATTTATTTTAGGCGAACTGGCGAAAGATGGCCCTGTAAATGTTAGAAAGAAAATGTACAATGTGCTGAACGGTGTGTAACCAAAGCTTACTCATGAGGTCTCTGAATGTGGTCTTGTCATGAGTCATCAAGTGGTCAATGATGGCTCTCCAGCTGAAAGATTCGGAAATTTAGAGTAAGTACTTAAATAACAAACACAATCAACTGATTTCCAGAAACAAGATGCACCATTCCAAGAGTCTGTTGATGCAACACTTATGTCAATGGGTTTTTGACTTTAATGAATCTCTGGCATCGGAGTTCTTTTTTGGACCTTTTCAACAAATGCGGAGACTGCTAATAAATGTCCAATTAGTTATTACTATTAGATGTGCGTACTGACAGGGCACACAAGGCCATGCTTCTTATCCATTTCTAGGTTTTTTATTCATTTCTAATCCAAAATGGGTCAATCTCCAAGATTTGTTAGATTACACTGGATGGATACAGTGGATGGATTGATAGATGAGACAAGTACAGTTCATTAGCAATTAATACAATTACGCTCAGCCTCTTTCAAGTTATTGGGTCCAATATCCTTATATTAGTCAATTCTCTCTCGCTCTCTTTTATAGTTAACATTTACTCTAACTACAATGTTCCCTCTCCTACTCACTGGCTGACACAAGAGGAGTCCATTTGGAAGAAGGTGTGGTCCATGAAGAGGTCGAAGGCCTCCTTCTTCCAGGCGCGGCGGGTGTACTGGTACCCACTTAGGCTGCTCAACAGTTGGATGCAGGCCCGGTAGCTGGGGGCGTTGTGAGCACTGCCAGAAGGAGCAGGAAACATGCAACAAAGACATTTCATGTATTACCCAGTTAATGCCATCCCACGGTGAGGATGTTAACAGTTACCATTTCACCCAAAATATGAAAAAAGGGGGAGAAGGGCATCCCCACCTGTGGTTGCGGAGGTAGGGCACAACGTAGTGCATGATATTAACCAGCAGTGGGATCACCCTCTCCTTCTCGTCACTGTAGAACACCATGTCCAGCAGATGAGCAAGCACCTAAGAAATGAAGTCAGCATTCACTCATGTCAGTCTTTAGTTGTTCCCTGTTAATAGTTCAACAAATGCCTACGTTGTACTTTGGAGTATATACTGTATATACGGTAAACCGCTGCACCAACAAACAGTATAAAGAAAGTGCACTGCAGAATTGGCTTGATGTATTGCTTTGAATGAGCACATTAATCCATCAACTGCAAAAAGCAGAAAAAGCAGTGAAGCACCATCTGCAGAATTAGCTCCACCTTAATCTAAATGACAGTAGCCTCTGATTTAGATGGTGCAGCTCACTTACAGCTCCACACAAAGCATTCACTGGGCCACTAATAATCCTAAAAGTGAAGGTGGGCAGGTGGTTGTAAATGCGCTATAAGGAGCTGCGGTGTTTAGTGGACTAAACCTTGCTGGCAAATGTGAGCGAGAAGCTTAAGATGTCACAGAGATGAATAGAAATAACAAGCAGAATGCTTTACCTCGGCCAATAGTGTGAGGGCGTGAACGCTGTACACTGATGGAGTGAAGCTGGAGGCCTCCATCACTGTGAGCATTAAATCTACAAAACACACATACCAAACGTTAGCAGCAGCTGTACAGCAGGAAAATGATTAACACTGCCATGCTGAAGCACCAGAATCTAAGTGCTCCAATTTGACCCCTCAGTCTCACGTTCATATTAGTCAACAACTAACAACAACATTCAAGATTGCCTCTTGAATGAACCAGTCATGCGTCAGAACAGAGAGACTCATCTTAAATCAGGCAGAAAAAAGGTTTTTCTGTGCACAATTTTCTTTAGAATGGATTTAGGATCCGTTGAAACTAGACTTTCACAAATGATATTGCATTGCATGTTATTCAATGACGCCATCAAAAGTCGTTATAAACAGCAGCGCACCTTCTACATCAGCTTCCATGTTGGCTCCATCCACGACTATCTGGGGGGAGGCCTTCACCTCCAGGTTTCTCCTCAGCCACGTGGTTTGCTCCAGAGAGGAGCCTGCGATGGTCCCGATGGCCTCCACCACCTTATGGGTCACGTCCTAAACACGCCAGTTACATACAGTCACTTGAGTTCATCACAACCGCGGCGACTTCACAGGGTGACATGAAAGTACAACTTGTTAGTAAGTCAATGTTAGTGTGTGTTAAAGTATGTTCTTTAAAAGGAAATGAAATACCTTGATGGACACAATTGAGAGATGAATAGCAGACAAGGTGGCTGCAGTAATTACCTGCAGCTCCCGTTGGTCTTTCTTGCTCTCCAGATTTGGATTCTTCAGAATGAACTCATTTAGAACTCTAGAGAAAGCAACAAGAAAGTCAAGGAAGGTCAAATCTCCAGTGAATGATTTGTTCATTCAGAACCACACTGACCATTTAACTCAGACCAACATCTACTAAAGTATAGTTGCACAGGTTATACCCAGATTTGAGTAAATTGGCATATCAGCACCACACTTAAAAGATGCAAAAGGAAGAGAAACCGACCCGAGTATGAGAAACTGTCCGGGGGCGGGCAGGCCCAACGGTATGGAGTCCTTCAACAGCACCAGCAGAGATGGCCAGCTGTCAACTAAACTGGACACAGAGATCCTAGGACACAAGAGACCATGAATGCAGAGTAAAGCGGTTAGAAGGCCGACACGGTGTCTACAAAAAGTAAAGCATGGGTTATTAACATATACACTGCTGTGTGCAGTGAACTCACCTCTGGACGTACGCATAGAAGAACTGCAGCATGCAGACCTCCAGAGAGAGGTGCTTCTGTGGGGAAGCAAATATTAGTGTCATGAACGACCATGAACAAGGTGAAAGGAAATGGGTATCAAAAAAGGACTGGGAAAATTGACTTAAAGATTGCAAACCAACAACAACCTTGTCCTTTGCAATGGCAGGCGGCTGCTTCAGGACCTCTTTGACCGTCTGCATGACCGTCTCAGTGCGCATGGCGCTCACTGAGCGAACCAGCTCCACCAGCAGCAGCTGTTCCTCACTGGCTAAAGGGATCACCTGGATGACAAGGCAACAAGTCACACGGGACAATGCGCTTTAGCTCGCTGTCACGGTCACTCTTAAAATACATTTTGATGCTTGCTATATATACACCAGAAAGTAAATGAAATCTGTCAAAGGTTTGCCTTCTGGACAGATGCCCGGGAGCGCTTACTTTTTCCTTAACCACCGTTTTTCAGAACACCCACCTTATTTCGGACCGGAGTTTTGACTTGTTTCCTCTCATTCCAAACATAAGCGATTGCGGCCATGAAGTGAGTGCCGTGGTTCATGGAGATCGGACCCAGCAGCTCCAGGATTTGTTGCCGCAGGTTCTGAAGAACAGATGTTAGCAAGAAGGTAAGGTCGGATTCACAATACAAACGGCTTCTTACAGGCCATACTGCCACAAGGAGATTTCAGTGCATACAAACAGCTTATGTTCTGTAGAGGATTCAAATCACTATATCAGCTCATTGAAAATTTAAAACAGCTACCTCTAGAAAAATGAGAAATAATATCATCTGGACAAGGGCAATAAAAATCAGAGCTGTGAAAGAAGTAACATTCTTTAATCTCAATATTGAGATTCAGTTCTTACTGCTATTTGTATGATTACCAGTTTCACAAGGAGCTATATTACTTTCTCAGAAAGTAATACAGAATACTTTTGGCCTGGCTGTCCAAACATCACACCTCTGAAAATTTTCTGTGAGCCACCATGCCATTCCTTCTACTTGGGTAAGTCTTCGATTAACAATATGTAACCTTTAACATTGCCTGTTACCTTAGTGGAGCCCAGGTTGATGTTGGAGGTAGAGGCAGCAGACGCAGCCGCTGGCTTGTCGGAGCTGTCCGCCTGGTGGAGGACGCTCCACAACAGGGTGACAGAAGACATGATGGTGTGGAGGATGGAAAGGATGCCTGATCGAGCCTCCGACAGGTGCTTCTGGTTAACACTCACCTGTAACTGAGAGGCAGATTGTGCAACAAGACAGTCAGTGTACTGCATGGTGCTAAGACATTGTGCACAGACGTAGATCACATCAAGCATATATTAATGAGTAATTACTCAAAAATATTAATAAACTGCAATAAGAATTACGATATAAGAATGCCTGCATTCATATATTCCTTAATATTCATGAGTATGTGCGCAGAGGTTGTAAACAATCACAGTCAACTGAAGGAGCAACTTGTTGGTGCTCGGCGCCCTCACCTGGTGGTACTGGGAAGTGGGATCCAGCAGGCAGTAATGGATGATGGCTGTCACCCCCTCCAACACTGTCAGAATTAGGTCAGGAGGGATGCAGAGAGCCATCCACTGTGGTCTGGAAGATAGTATGCAATTATTAAGAAATATGTTGAAAATAAAATATACATGCAAAATTCTGAATGCCAAACACTTTGATCACAAGTGATTCATCAGAGAGAAGGATGATGATGATGTGCTATACAGCCATTGCATCCTGTGGTCTAGAGTGCCATCTGCTGGCCAAACCCTAAGCTTTATTACAAGGACTACCTGTGTCAGTGTGTTAGAATAACACAGCTTATCTGTAAGATTCAAAGAAATGGAGTGACAGCGAGATCCTCTTTGTGGCAGTGGCAAGTGGGTGGCATCAAACTTGAGAGCCCCACCCCCTACACGGAACCCGCCGGTCCAAACCTAAAATTAGCCTCTGTAATAAGAAGACGGGGGCTCACGTGTCTCAAATAAAATTAAATAAAATAAAATATTTACAGCAGCTGACCTGTCGTACAAATAACAGTTGTTTCTGGGAAAAATTGGCTCCTCCCACCCAGCGTGCCGTTGTGACGCCGACTGATTTACTGGCGATTGCCGCTGCCTGCCACAAAGTTGCCACCCACTTGCCACTGCCACAAGGAGGATCTCGGCCCTACTGAAGAAATGTCAATACCTGGTGTCAGTTAGTCCCGTCTCGTAGCGGTACTGATGGAGAAGATTGTCCAGGTTCCTACACAGCTGCAGAGTGACCGAGGCTACCACCCTCCTCAGCACCCTCCCCATGTACGGCAGAGTGGCCGTGATTAGTCCTATCCACTGGGGATGCATCTTACACGCATGGTGCTGATGCAGCGCCCTGATCACGGCGCACAGGAACATACCCTGCGCTGTGATCGGCTGGCCGTGGGAGGTATTGCAGTGATGTCATTGGCTGCTGAGGGTTGACATGCTCCACCTCGCCACCCAGCATCTCGAACCCGGCCCCAGCAGCGCCGGCCGTTCCTACGCCTCCCACGCCTCCTCCCACGGGTCCCCCTTCTCCTCCTTCCTCAGCTGGCAACAGGACCCTGTGCTCCAGAACGACCAGGCTCTGCAGCAGTCGGAGCAGCTGAGACTGGACGGCGCTGCAGCTGTCTATCTGGTCCTCTGACAGGTTGATGACGCTGTCCTCGGACAGACCTTCCTCCACCGTGGCCACGTTCGCTCCTGCCACCTTCTGCTCGTACCACTTCTGGGCACTGAATATGGAGGAGAGCAGGCAATGGAGAACCACTTTCTGGACTTTGCACTTGGAGAGGACGTCGCTGATGAAACTCGCGAAGCCCTTGGCGGAGCCACCTGTGACTTTGACCAGCTCGCTGAAAAGGAGCGTGAGGACCTCGACACTGGTCAGCTGCATGGCCCGGTTCCCCGCCAGGTCCTGAGGGCCAGCGGTCAGGTGGGCAGAGTAGTAGCTTCTCAGGAAGTACAGACAGAGGGAGATGATGATCTCCAGGTACATGGCACTGCGGAATGAGTGGGAGTGGGAGTCCTGGGAGATGGGGCAGTAGAAGTCTTTGCCCATGACGGAGACCCTGTGGCGGGCAAGGAGGTTTTGGAGCAAGGACAGCTGCGGAGTGTAGGTGTTGTTGATGCTGGTGGTGGAGATGGCACTCACAAACCCTGAGGGAGCGGCTCTGAGCATGGACGCGATGGCCGACAGGGCGTGTAGCGCCCGGGAGGAGTCGTACAGCTGGAGGTAGAGCAGAACGTGCTGGTAGAGAGGATGGATGTTAAAACGAGGCGGGGCAGAGGATGATCTGCGTTCTGTGACACTGACGTCCCCGGAGGTCCCAACGGACCCCGCGCTGGGGGATCCGCTGTCGCTCTCAATCTCTGACACCTCACCTTCGCCACAGCTGTACCAGTTCTCTAGATCCAGGCTGTCCCCGAAAAATATACTGGTCGGGCGCAGTTTTTCAGCTTGAATTGCCATCTTTCGCTGCTTCGCCTCCTCTTTCCTCTTGGCCTTCTTGATCTTGGGCTTGGCCCCAGTGGATTTGTCCGAGAGCCTCTCCATGATCTTCCCTTTAAGGCTGAGCTGGGTGCTGCTGTGGCTACGTTTACGGGCCTGGGGGTCGTCCACCTGCAGGTTGTGGTCCAGGGTGGCGGGGTCGAAGCCATCCGGCAGCGTGACAATGGACGGTGAAGAGCTGTGACGGGTGATTCCTTCTCTGTGCTCGTCCTCCGCAGACAGGTCAGCCCGCGAGACATGGAGGAACTCCAGCGTGCCTCCGGCCAGCATCTCAGGTAGAGTCTGGCTGTTGGAGCCCGGAGGAGGTACAGAGTCCTGACAGGGACCAGTAGAGGCTTCTGAGGAAGTGCTGTCTGTGTCTGTCTGGAGCCAGTTTTCATGTTGAGACGAGACTTCAAAAAAGGATCCCTCGTCTGCTAAACTGGAAACACGATCTATCAGGTCTTTCATAACAGAAGACACTGCGTTCTCTATCGAGTCCTCGGACATGTCACAAGAAGAACCAGGCTGTTGCTCCGAGCCATTGACTGGGCCAACCTCGGCTTCCTCAAAGCTGCAGTTTTCCACTGTAGACGATTGAGAACCACTGGACGCGGAGCTCTGGAGCTCCCCCTGTTGTGCCGCGGGGTGATATTCACCAGCTAGTGGCAAGTTCTCACTGCTCAGGCTCAGCAAGGACAGGCTGTCGCTCAGGGGGTTGACAGTCAGACAGAACGGCTCCATGTCCCCCATCACCAGTCCTCGGAGCTCCTCTTGCGTCCCCATCTCCCCTGGGATGTGACCAAAGTCTTGAAAAGATGAAAGAGAGAAGAGAATATGTGGATCACAAACAGTCTATGTGGAAAGCAGGTACGCCATACATGGCAGTGCAACTAAAAAAGGCAGTTTTACTGGCATTTGCTTACTGTCTGAGAAGCCAGAGTCCCTGGTGTAGAGGGCTTCTGATGGCTCCTGTTCATGTGGTTCAGGGCACACCTGGGCCCAGTGGCGCTGCGCCTGCACCCTCTGGATGGATACTCGGTGGGTCTTGGGATGGAGCAGAACTAGCAGGAGAGGCTCTAAAACCCGAGCAATATCATGTCTCTGCAGAACCTGATTTAGCCAAGCCCGGCCAACGGCGCTAGTGCACGGATCCCAATAGCTCAGACTGTCGAGCATGATGAACAGAGATCTGTGAAGGACAAAGTGAAACGAAAATCACAAGACGGGCCCTTCTTGATACAAACTACTGCAAAAAACAGTTCAATGTGGCCGTATACCTGTCCAAGGTCCGATTAAAAGGCGAGGATTTGTTGATGTTCAAATCTCTCGTCAAATGCCACAGCACGGAGAACTTCACGTGGGCCTCCAGCTGAATTCTCTGAAAGCGAAACGTGCGTGACCATGAATTTCATTGACAGATATTGCTGAAGCGTGTGCATCTCTTTCGTGGTAGATGTAGAGTGTCCACTGTACTAACTTTGTCTCTGTGCATGAGCTGCTGGCTGATGACGTCCTCACAGATGCTGGAGGAAGGCACCAGGTTGTGGAGCTGGTAGAAGAGCTCCACGCTGCGTTGATGGTGCTGAGGAGTTCCTTCACTCAACTGGTCCCATAAGATCAGAGCTACACTCTAGGTGGGAGGAGGGAGGGGGGGGGGGGTAGGAGGGAGATTTAACTGGGTCAACACCATCCAAAAAGAATATTTTCCACTGTGTGCTAAAGATGAACTGTACCTTAAAGAAGTTGGTCTTGTCAGCGATATACTTTAGGATTCCCTGAGTGAGTGGTGGCCTGATGACGACAGCCACCCGACCCTGGCTGGGGCTCATCGGCTGGGCGGAGTCTGAGCTGCCCCCGGATGCAACGCTTTCAGCGGTCACCATGGCGACCGACTGGGTGAGTCCCACGAGGTCCATGACCAGGGAGATGGCCACGCCCTGCAGGCTGAAGTCACTGGCCAGGCAGCAGGCATCCATCAGTGTTTGCAGCCACACTGGCAGACCGACCTGCTCGCTGACTGTATTGAAGGCAGATAGAAAGTATTCATGTCATGAATTGGACCTAAAAGCTGGAACACAGCTATACATCTTAACAATACTCTTACTATCCCTACCATTGATTATGGTGTATTGCTGCTGTTTAATCCATATTAAAAACACCTTGTATACATCAAAACAGTGGGTAGATATTCCACTGAAAACCATGATCACTGTCTACTTATTATAACAGTTTGAATGGCAAACATTTTGCGGACAGTGGGAATACCAGGAAGAAGGAGCAAATGTAACCAAACTCACCGAACTGCTCTTCCTGTGAGGGTGAGGACTTGAGATTGCCCTCTGCGATGTACACAGGGAAACTGGAGCATTCCAGGAAGAGTTGACAGGCAGCGGTGAAGGCAGCAACCAATTCCCTCTTGACCAACCCTGCTTCTGAGCACGAGTCCGTATGACCAGTGGGCTGGGGGCCTTCTGAAACCGGGGGCTCCGATTTCATGATCTCACCTCTTTCACCCTCAGCTTTGTCCGCCTGCCCCGGCGTAATATACAAGGTGATGAGTCGGGAGAGAAACTGCTGGAAGTGCTCCAGGCAGCACTGCATGACCGGTTTGTCCAGAGGCTTGTTCTGCGATGGGCCTGATGCGCGCCGGCCCGTTTTGCCCGCTGTGTGGGGGTGAGGGCTTTGCTCCGTCTCATCCGGGCCATTGCAGTGGTACTGGACAAAGTCTGTGAAGCCACTTTCGCTTTTGCTGGGGGGGACTTTCCCGTCATCAAACACCTCCCCACTGCCTCGCTCCAGAGTGGAAGGCAAAGCCTGCAGGAGGAAAAAAAGGATGCGTGAGGAGGAGAGTGGAGAAACAAAAGACCTAGAATGTGGCTAAATTGCTTACGTGTCCCACTGAGTCTTTCCCAGTGAGCAAGCAGCATGAACAGTAACTGTGCACCTAAATGCAATGCATGCTTTACACAAAATCAACATCTGGACCACTGCACAAGAAACCTGCATGATAACAACAACTAAATTGAGTGTATTTTATGTTTCCTAATGTTAGATTGAGATGAAAAATATAAGCTTACATGTGCTGCATCCTGATCCAGAATCAGCCTGAAGACTATATCCCATAGATTCAGTAAATGCATACCTTACAATTAGTCACAGCGACAATGTACACACAGCTGTTGGGCTCGACAAGAGGGACTTCTTTCTGCCATTTGTGACATTCAGCCCTTAGGAGCCTGAGGGCAAAGCATTCTGATAGAGGCAGCCTTCACACTCTGGGGCCTGGACTCAGATGGCACGTTAGACAGCAGATTCTCTGTATCTCCCCCAGGGTGGGTGGTGGTGGTGGTGGGGGGGTTGCAGTAAGTATTCAGTGCATGTATGTGAAATGTTTTCCACTCCAACGGATGGGGCTCACCCATGAGGCATCGCTTGCTCGTCTACTCTTCTTATTCCTCGGAGAGGGAAGGCGAGCCGGGCTCAGCTGTCGGGTAACTTTCTTCTGCGTTTCGACGCATGCCCTCTTCTGTCCCCCCCCTGGGCCTACCTCAATCCATTCAGCCCCGGCCCATCACCCAGCATTGGGCCCTTTGACTGAACCTAAAGTTGCGCCTCACTGAGCCCTTGAACACTTCAACAACCAGGCTGCTGGACGGGGACCAGGAGAAGCAGGACGGCCAAACGATGCATTCAGTCTGAACGTGCTTCAAATGCCTCACGTCGAGGGAGTGCTGCATGACAGGGCCAGTCGTGGGACCACCCAGCCAACTGTCACACCATCAGAGCCTGATCTGATGGACTTTTGGGCTGTAACTTGTAGGGGAAGTAGGTCAAACTGGGATTTGCTCAGAGTTGGGCCGCAACGGGGTCCATGCTTTTATCAAAAGAACTTTTAAAGGATCAGAGAGCAAACAGAGTCATCAGCTGGCAGGCTTGTTCAAAGTACAATATTGGCATGGCAGGGGCGTTACTTTTGTTTTGGAGCTTGTGAACAATTTCTATATCCAACTGACCACTAGAGCGACAAGACACACTGATCCCATCGGGATTTAAGTGGCAGAAGTGCATTTCCCTTTCAATTCCCCCCCCCACTTCTCCTCACCTGTTTGCCCTCCTTGCCCCTGCTCTCGTCACTTGCCGAGTCTGAGCGATTGGCAGTGGGGTTCAAGTGGCCCTGGGCCTGGGGGCCCGACGGCAGGGCCAGTGGGGACACCAGCGGGGGCTGAACTTTGCTGAGGATCTTGGAGCAGAGACGAAGGCAGTGGGTGAGCTCCCCGAGGCCCAGCGCCTGCAGGTGAGCGGTCAGAGCTGCCACCATGCGCAGCAGCAACTGAGGGAGGTGCTCCGTCTGGATCTCTATGTAGGTCTCCTGGAAATGTTTTGGCGACGTGGAGAAGGGAAGTTAGGACCAGAGGGAGTGGAGGAGTTATTGGGTATCTTGGAGGTGGTGAACCTGATAGAATGTAATTACGGCCATTAACTAAAGCCGATATGGGACTTTAATTGACTCAAAATTATTGATTTAAAAAAAATATATAGTTTGCGTGGTTAAATATTATTAAACACACATTGAAACCTCGAATGATCACATCTCTTATCAGAGTATGAATAACATACAAGTGACCTGGCAGAGGTAACATTTTAAGATGCTAATTTATTATCAGAAATACATTATACGAATGTCAGTTCCAGCCTCTAAATAAGAATATTAAAAATTAAGATGCAAAGATTCAGCTGTTTACAGTTATCCCAAGACATCCCTACAATCATACATTTACTGTATGCTTTGCTTATTTTATTCTAGTAAAAATATACCTGTATATACGAGGCTTATTATCATTGTATATGACCTGCATATGTATATATTAATGTTATGTCATTATTTTCCTGGAAAAGGCTCTTCACACTTGGATCAGATCCAGAGCTTCTTTTGCCCCTTTCTCAGTATTTTGACTCGACAAGCAAAACACGTTATGTTAAGAACCAAATACAAAAAAAATAAAAAATAAAATAAAATCATAGAAATTATCGTATCATGAAGATAATTAGAGGAGTCATATTTCTTAAAAATATGTGAGTAGTACAATAGCATAGAGCTGCATGCATGCTGAACAGAAGACACAGAAAAAACACTGGGCAGATTTCATTTTCACAAGGTCCACACCAAACAGCCGGGGTCGGTTTCCACCACATGTAACGACTGTTAGCATCCCACTTCTTCCTCTGGATAATTTTATTTAGTGTTAAATACGACTGTCTGAAATGATCACTGGAAGCAGGGCAGGAACAACAATGGCCTGACGGATGTTTGCAGGACGTTGCAGAAATGTTATCGTAGCCTCAGTGAAGCAGGGCGAGGTGAAAAAGCAGGAAAGAACAGTACTTTACCTGGCAGATTACCCTCATGCTTCTAGTAGGCTTAAGGAGAAAGAGCAGATCGTTTGAACAGACAGGAGCAAGCAGAGCGCACGCCACACAACACCTGGTGTGTAGTAACACACTATCCGGCTCTCGCTCACACACACACACACTTACGGAACGCAAGGTTCCCTTTGTCACGCAAATACACACAGAGACAGTCAAGCATTTAAAGAGGGTAAAACAGGAGTGAGGGGTTTCCAAATTCTGTATAGACAAGTAAACACAGGCCTTTTTGAACCTGTGTACACGCACACATGCCCGAGAGAGGAGGTGTGAACACACACACACCATCATGATGGCAAAAACATCCCAGAACTGGAATAAAAAAATTGATTTAAAAAAAAGGGCGTGAGCCAAGAGGATGGAAGACTGAGAATGAGATGGAAAGCCCAAGCAGGAGACAAGGGACTGTAGATGAAGGAAGAGAACGGATGGGGTGGAGGGACAGGGACACACACACACACACACACACGGAATAATTTGAGGAAACTGAAATCTCTAAAATGAAACTTTCAAATATGGGGAGGGAGACTGAATAATGGCAACAGCATGAAGGGAAACATGATGAATGGGGAAAAAAAGGTCTAATGGTGGAGTCAACGCAATGACAGAAAAGGGAAGACAAAAATTCTGCAATAGAAATTAAGGCAGATAAACGAGACAAAAAGACAAATTGAGAAAAACAAAGCAAAATGGCAAACGGACAGAGAAACAAATAGTGAGTAAGACAGAGGGATAAATAGATGCAAGAAAGTTAGAGAAGAGAAAAACCGACAGAAAGACAGCGCAAAGAAGAAAATGGTTCTCACCAAAGAAACGATATCCAGCAGGAAATCAACCAGCTGACAGAACTCCACCAATGAGAGCTCTGGAGGATCAAAGCTCCCAGCATGCCGTGGTGCACGCGTGTTGCTGTTCATTGTCCTCCTGCAAAACAAGCAAACCGTAGCTTTTTTCAAGATGTTGAGCAGTGAACTAGAGTGTAAACCTCTGGATCCATTTCGTTTGAGGTCAGTAGTGGAGTTCTGCTGTTATGGTTGCGGGAAACGCATGTTCTGGTACCAGCTGAACAGTGTCCCAAAAACAACACAACACCGGGGCGGGATAACGCATCACCATCTTAAAATGGCTGGAGAAACATGAGAAACTACAGCTTTTGCTCGCTGGTATTTAGTCCGTGGCAGATTGTGTACTTGTGCACACATGAATTTGAACGAACAAACAAACCTGCAGCACTCCTCAAACCAACGGGCGATGTAGTCCCACATGTAGTACGGCTCAAACGAGTTGAAGAGGAGGTTGGCCGTTTTAATCAGTTCGGCTGTCTTCTTGTTCTCTCGTAGTTTACTATGACAGAAGGTTCAGTTAGCATCTTTGTGTGAGTGGATAAAAATAATGAACAGAATCCTCTTATCAGCAATGTTTTAAGTTGCTTATTGTGTAGAAATATTACAATTTTCTCACTTAAAGTTCAAAATTTCAAATAATTTTTGATGGCAATTTCTCATTTCGTTAATAAACTTAAAGCATGCATTTCACTACTTTTGTTTTGCCAGTTAGTAGGCTGTAAAGATGTTTTACGGTTGTTTATGGTACTTAAATTGTAACGCTGAAATTATTAAACTATTTATGGTTACTTTATGACCATTCAACAACATAACTTTCAATGTAAGGTCAATTTACAGCTGCGTATACTGACCTGCTGAGGTGCGCCTGATCTTTACTGAAGGGACTCTGGTTCTGGAGGTCCAGCTCTGTTCGGCACTGTGTGTGAAGAGTCCGAAACACCTCGATCAGAACATCCTCTAGGATTGCTGGACCTGGAGACATATATACATACATTTATTGGCCTGTGTGACATGTTGACATCACTAACTACACTGATGGACTCTATCCATAGACTTGTTACCAAGTTCCGGTTTGTCCAGCAGACTGATGAGGATGCGAAATGGCTTGAGGTCGTGCATGAGGACGCTCTCCTCTTCCCCGCCCCGGGCTCTGCCCTGCAAGATCCCCACCATGGCCTGCAAACACAAACAGCCCACAACTCAAGAGCATTTTTCCCACACTATTTTGCCTATGATATTTGGCACAACTAGTTGCCTTCCAATTTAAATGTTTCCCATGTGTGTGTGTGTGTGTGTGTGTGTGTGTGTCACGCTTCGTCTGCCACTTAATGGTGTGAAGTGAAGAACAGACTGTCTCTGTAGTACCAACGCTCTCCCAATGAAGGGAACTCCAATAGCCATTTCAGGGCAGATGGCGGACAAAAATAATTAAACAAAAGAATAAGCACATTGAAAAACAAAACTTCCCCTCCTGATATCTCGTTGTTTGCTTTCCCCCCCTCTCGCTCCCGTCAGCTCGGTTTGTCCCCCTCCTGTCGTTCCAATGCTCATCTGTGTCGAGCATGACAGGACAGACTACACAAGTGTAAAAGACTGGGAGGACAGGGACCTTCAAAAAGACACTATCGGGAGTGGGAGAAGAAAGCAGGACGTACTTGCAAACCCCAGAGGAGGAGGAGAAAGATTAAAGCGAACGGATAAATTGGGAGGCTGACAAAACAGAACAGGCTGTGCCAAACTCCCAACAAACACTGCGTCCTCCCCACATGGACATACTCTACGTCTCAGGAGGGGGTTTTCGGAAGTTACATTTAAAGCAATCAAAGCATTCTCTTTTTGCAGTTAGCTTGACGCCTCACCTGGATAAGCATGTCTTTAGAAAAGGTGTTGAAGTAGCGGCTGGCATGCTCCTCCGGGTTGCTCTGCCGGGTGCTGCGGGGGCCTGTTATCACCCCGTTGTTGTCAAAGCCTTCAAAGTGAAAAGACACGGGAATCATGAAGGTGTAAATGTACATCCAGAATATGCAAGCACAGGGCAAGAAGCAAAGGACCGGTCCGGAGTGACAGAAATTGAGTTTGGATCTTGGGTGGGTAAATTTATTATATTTAATAAAGGCAATATACAATTTATTTGTATCTTCTGTTAAGCTTCTTCTTGTTCCCGTCCTGATGGCTTTTGCGAACATAACATTCTAGCCACAGTATAAACATTTTAGAAGCTTTGCCAGATACGGTACGAGCCGCTAATCTTCAAAATCATGGAACAGTTCCAAATTGCTATGACGTCCAACTAGTTGGAGCTTTACGCAAGATAATTCATCCCACTCATTGGGGAGGAAAGCCTCAGAATCCCACTGTACAGTATTTAACAGTTTTGTTTTGTATCACTTATGTTGATCTCAAATCTGGCATATTGCAATACTGCAACTGTTGCTGTTTGCTTTGGAGGGGGAAAGACAGTGTCCATCCTGAGCCATGCAGACACTTACCAGCATGTTCATCCACAGAGTGTTGCAAACAAGAGAAAACGCAGTAAGACAAAGGCCGCAGCAGATAGACAGTAGAATAGTCACTGCATGTGCCACACAAAAACACACATATGGGTGTATTCTGGTTTTGTTAAGACTTCCTCCAAATATAAATTCCTCTCTGAACTCGATAATATACTCTATATAATATTCACTCAACAGAAATAAAATGGTATTTTGGAACCCTGGTGCATTACAATGTCAGTACTGTGCCTGTGTGTGTATTTCGCACCCAGCAGCCAGGCGTAGAGTCTGCGGTTGAGCGACATGTCTCTTCTCAAAACCACATGCAAAGCTGCTGACAGGATCCGGATCATGTCAGGGCGAGTCGCCTGGACACAACAAAGAAGGTTTTTTTTTAATGACTGAGTGATTTTGTGTCTTACACATGTGCGCACTTCCAGCCCTGACAGGTCCAGAAATGTTTTGGGGAGAATTCAACAAGCAGCCATCATGATCAAACCCATGCGGATGCACAAGGAACAGTTATACACGCCAATTGAATACTTTCTTCTAGTAATTGTAAGACACACACATCATCATCATCATCACCGTACTGTGGCTGACACAGCTCTCCTTACCTGGCTCATGTGGAAGGGGAAGCAGAAGAGGATGAGGTCCAGGGTGCTCCTCTGCACCAACACACTGGAGTCCTGGACTGAGGTACTGACCGCCTCCACCTGGTGAGACCCGAGACGCATTATTAATCAAATTGCCTACTGATAATCAAAAGTTCTTTTCATGGGTTTAGTTGAGGGTTCGCTGTCTTGTCTTGATTTAAGAGTTAGGTAAAGGGGGAAGCAGGATCTGCCAAGCAGGCAGACACGAGTCTGACAGGATGGGGAGTCAGTTTATGTCCTGGCTGAGGAATGTAAGGTCTGCGGGTCAACTAGAAGATTTACCAGCCAAAGGGGGGTTAGAGACACACCAACACTATTCAACATACACACTCTGTTTACGATGTTTACGTTAAGTCAGGAGTCTGGACATTGGATGTGACCGGATCTTTAGATGCGGGAGGTGGAAGGTCCTCCTCTACGCCAGTTTAGGGCCAATAGAAATCTTTCCTTCTCTGTCTTTCCAGGGTTATAAAACATGATGTTCTTGCTGATGTTAGTTAGCTGTTCTTCCGGCCTGTGTGCTGCCTGAACTGCTCCTGCCTTTGCAAACGCAGCGCTGATACTTGACCTGTGATCTGACAAATAAATTTTCCAGAACGAGAGAAGTTATTCGGCTGAATTTTTGATAACCCCGACCAGGCTCCAAATCTTGAACACGTATTCTTACACTACTTATAGGATCAGTAGTGCATTAAACAACACTGCACTGTGAACGCCTCGGTCAAAGATCTGTCAGACCCTACGTGGCTTTGGGGGAAGGTGGTGCGGTACGGTTTTGGTCGTTTGAGAACCTTTTCAGTGTAAGAGCACACAATTCTCTCACTCCGTAATCCGTAAGGCCGTTGGCATTGCGGTCTACGGTCACGTACCATGAGCTCGATGTCACTGCCGATGACGTAGAGCTGGTCCTCCATGGACAGCTTGCGATTGAGGTGCAGCAGGACAAAGGTCACCCCGGGGAGACGCACGGCAGGGCTGGTCAGGATGCTGCCCCACAAGGCACTGTAGAAGGCCGACTGCTCCACCGCCGCTGCCACCTTCTCCAACAAGGTGTTGGTTCTGGTGAAAAACAAGGGATCATTTGAGACAAAAACACACACGTCCGCACAATGAACTTCTGCTACTCAAGCAAAGCTGGCACCCAGACGGAAAAGGAATACTTGTTGTTACATGTTTTTGATAGATTAACTAACAGTGTGTCAGAAAGTGTGTGCAGTCAGTACTCAGGGCACTAATGTAATCGTCTTCATGGCCTAAAGAACCACAGGGAGAATGTTCTAGCTGGTTGCGTCGGCGACACGTATTGGTCATACTTTAGTTGCGCAGGTTTTAGTGCTTCTTGGTCAACCTAACATCTCACAGTACGATTACCTCATGAAACAAAATACATTGGGAGACACATCCGCTCTGCAGAGAGGTGATCGGCTGGAAGCGAGCTAAAAAGATCGTAGCCGGCCCCGCTCACCCCGGACAAAACCTGTTTGTGCCCCTTCCATCTGGCAGGAGGCTGAGGTCCATCAGGACTAAGACCTCCCGCCACACCAACAGTTTCTTCCCGTCGGCAGTCGGGCTCATCGACAGAGCCGGTCCCCCACTGACTGACTATGACATTCCACCGGTCACTCCCCTTCACACTGCACATGTCACTTTAACTGTCATTTCTCACTCGTCACTGTCACTTTGTCGTCACTTGTTCGATAGTGCACTTTATTTTTTTATATTTTTTAACTTTAACTTTATTCGTATTCTATACTAACCCATAGCCTTATCCTACTAACCCATTGCATTAGCATTTCATTTTATTTTATTACTTGTGCACTGCTGTCTTGTTGTCTATTGTTACACTGTCTACTGTCACGCACCAACCGCCGAGACAAATTCCTTGTATGTTTGACATATTTTGGCAAAAATATAAATAAATAATAAAAAATAATCTTTGGTAAAACTCAAATGAAGACGGTACTATATTGCATATCTGATCAATAACTACTAATGAAAAACCATTTTATATGTCAACCCCTAAAAGTAGCCTTTTCTGTGCCATGTGCCAGGAACAGTTGTTCTAATAATGTAACTAATGATGCTTCACATCCACCTTTGCTTAGAGGAACATTAGTGGAGCCATTTGTGGAATAATCAGTCTCACCTGTGCTTTCCTGCTAAACCGATTTTAAGGTTTTACCACATAAGCTTAAGCTGTAACGGTGGCGCCCTCTAGAGGCCGGGAGACTAATTAACAGCCACACCGACGAGACGTGTTCATTTGCTTCTTTTGTAACATACGAGACAGCTTTCACAACTATTATTTATTAAGTCAATCTATCACCAACACAGATGGATAAGACCATAGAAAAACTTGAGATTTCTAGAGAACCTAAATGTAAACAGCACACACATCTGGAATCAAACCCCAAACCCAGAGGTCTGTCTTGAGTTTGAAACATCAATCTTGCAATGAGTCACATCTCATTTATCATTCACACTGAGTGAAATCAATTCCTTTCCTAACGGCCTGTTCTGGTAGCTCCGGTGTGTGCACATCAGAAGCGTCTTTTCTTTTCCCATCACGCCTCCTCTCACCTGTCGTAATACTCGGAGCCCTCCTCCAGGCCGGGCAGCACCCCGGTCAGCAGCCCCTGCAGGCCTGGCTTAAGAGTCTTTCCCAGGGGCAAGTAGTAGGCCTCGTAGAGTCCCAGCAGCACCGGCTTCACAGACATGGCGGCATTGGAGAGTAAAGGGAAGAGCCCAGAGCTAGAATGATGTAACAAAACAAAAACAAAAAAAGAGATCATTTATTTTCATACTAGCAGAACACTTTATGTCCAGCAAACTAGTGGCCAGTGTCGAGTGGAACTACAGGATCACCTGTATAGGAAGAGGTCTTTGGCCAGCCTCTTGGGTCCAATGATCTTGAAGATGATCTCGTAGGTCTCCAGGGCCTTGCGGTGGACCCCGCTGGGCAGCGCAGGGTGAAGGCATTGGGCCAGCCGTTTTCCTATCGTCAGCTTCTTGGGAACCACTTGGTATTTTGCATTATTCTGCAAAACCTGAGACACAGATGGCGCACATGAAGCGTGCATTCACAACAGTGTACACGGACGACGTTCCTCTGTGTAATTCAAGCGAGAGCAGATTAAATGTGATTTTATACTGCCTGTCATTGCATGCTAAAAATAAAACGCTTGCTTTTTCTAATGTGCATCCCACGTTTTTTCTTTCGGAGCAGGAACCTAAACGTGCAGCTTGTAAAGGGGGGGGGGTGTGTCATCACCTTGTTGAGTTTGCCCAGCGCAGAGATGAGGTCTGCCCACTCACTGGAGTACTCAAAGTTCTTGAGGGCTTTGTCCACCGCTGCCACATAGTTCCTGTACTTGGAGTCACTGAGCAGCTCCACTTCCTCTGCGTTCATTCTCCTGGGTGGTTATTGCGCTAAAGTGATACACCAGGCACACGTACGTGCATCACACCGCAACTGAAAAACAACAGAAGATCAAAAACACGGCTGTTATGGTCCAACGTGGTACATGTCAGAGTGTCGCTACGGCTACTTTATAAGAGTCACGTACAGCAGAGTGGACAAGGCACAAACAGCCATTTACTGTCTCTGTTTTACGTGTTTGGAGAAGGAGGGATACGATCCACGAGGACGGCCGAGGACAAGCTGGATGAGGATGAGGGGGGTCCATCAACTCTCACACACTACTCATGCCACGCTGTGTTAGCTACGAGTGCCCCTCTTCTCAAAAGGGAGTTGATAAATGCACGAGTATATCATTTGATCTTGATTAGACACAGCGAGCGAGGGTGGAACTATTTACACGGCTGATGACTCAGTGCCGAGAAGTTAGTTAGTGAGTGAGTGAGCGCTCGAGCCCCATTGTAGCCAGGCGGTGACTAATTAATACTACTCACACCTGCTGCGATAAAAGAAGACGCCGTGGATTCACTGAAAGGAGTCTGCCATGTTAAACGTTTGAAAAGTACACGCGTGAAACGGCAGCGTCCGAGGGCGGTCTTGTAACGTTATTCAAGAATGTCAGGGGGGGATTAAACGTGTGTTTGTGTGTCTTCGCTGACTCGAGGACTGGTGTCAGGCATCACCCTGCAGAGAGCAGGTACGCGCACCTGTCGTGGCGGATAACACGCCAGGAGGAAGAAAAAGACAACACATATTAGAAACGCACAAAAGCACGTTTGTCTCCGGGATGAATTGTGTCCAATGTGCCACTAGCGTTTAGCGTTTAGCGGGAGGAGAGTCGAGTAGCGCGGCAGCTAGCATGCGGCCAGCTAGGTGAGGGGACTTCCGCTAACGTATAACGTTACATTACACCGTTGACAAATCAGGGCGATATAACGTTAATTGCTTACCGTTACGCGATGTAGGACGGCAACTGTGATTCAATCATGAGTCCGGTTGGCTGAGTAGAAACAGCTGACAACTTCAATAATATGGCCGTAGAGCTAGCTAACGTAAGGGTCTGTGGCAGGTTGTTTAAATGCTGGAGATGCAGGGCCCGGCTGTCTCCGGTGTCTCCCGTTCACACGAGTTCCCTTGACAACAAGGCTTCGGAGGCAGACGACGTGTAGTTGTAGCCTACATATTCTTACTCCTCGTTGTGTTGTCGGGCGGCGGGTGAATAAACACTGATGCGCGCATCAGTAGCTGCCGGCGGCCAAACGATACAAAGCGAGACGAGTGACAGCTCCCAGACTGCACTGCAGATTAGCTGTACGTCCATACGCGTCCAGCCGCTGCGCGCTTCCGCCTCGCAGTTGCGTCAAGTCACCGGAAATGTAATCGGAAATATTTATTTTTGTCTTTCTTAAAATGTAACCGACTTCGAAATTTGTCTCGCTACATCTTAGTATTATCCACCGTAAGTAGCCGTACGATTCAACAGCTGTAAGAATGTGCTCCTACTACAACGGTGGCAATAACGAAACAAAAAGAACAGCCAGACGTAGGCATTTTCAAAAGCAATGTTTGTGCCTGGACAAGGAAGGACTACCAGCAAATTCTAACACACAACTGCCCATTGGGATCCAGACCACCACTTGCCTGAGAACAAAAAAAGTACTGTTTTATAGACGGACCATGGGTCAATCTATTTGTAAGCCTTTATCAGTAATTGAACAAACGAATAGGCTTGGGTATTTTATTTTGAAATGTGGGACCGGATGCTCTTCTCGTGCTGTGCGTAATGTTGGCGACTTGGTCAGACGTCACGCTGCAGACAAGTAACGTTAGTAGCTGCTCGATTTCACCAGCGTGCTGAAGCAGATACATTTAACTTTATATTTACCTTATTTTGGATGCAGTGTTGCCGAGTTTCACCGGCACACACTGATTTGATTGGTGCGCGAATTTGAAAAAAAAAAAACATATATTCAAATTGTTCATAACGTTAAATGGCAGAACTGGAGGGGCCAGCCAAAACACATGGAGTCGGGGTCTTCTTAGAGCTGAGAAAAAGACTGCAGACCGGACTGCTTATTGTGGGGTGAGGTCTTTATTTGTATTAGAAAGCTAGCGAGCTAAACCGTACCCGTTAGTTAGCACTGTTCCATGTTCTGGCAAGCTAACGCCGGGCTAGCTAAGCGCGTTAGCTAATGTAGCCCAATGAACGTGAATGAATGCTGCGCCTTTTCCAACATCGCCTTCACTAATGTTGTTGTGTCGTGTGTGTGTCGTGTGTGTGTGTGTGTGTGTGTGTGTGTGTGTGTGTGTGTGTGTGTGTGTGTGTGTGTTTGTGTGTTGTTTCAGTGACACCTTCATAACTGTTGTCATCTCTGATTCTTGCCACCCGTGTCACACAATCTGCTGAAGTTACCAGCAACATTTGGTAATTCCTAATTGATTGCACTATAGAGTCGTATATTCAACGTTAGTCGTTACATTTACACCGGGACGAACTAAGATATACAAATACACCTCCATATATAATAATGACCTTTCGATATACCGCTGGCAGGAGCGTTTCTACATAAGTATTTTTATACAGCACGTCGGCCATACATCTATGCTTTATAATGAATGCAGGACCTTTACTACTAGTTCAGTACTTTGTATTGTGGTATTACTTATGTGGATGGTTTGAGTGCTTAATGTTTGCAAATCACCTTGTAAACGTCATACTGCTTCATCAGTGAATGTTTTTTTCATATTATCAATTGCTTTAGTGTACATCAGGGTCGCCTTTCCTCTCACTAGATGGAGCTAAAGAGATTCGCAGACAACCTTGGGACTCTCAATGGACTGTTGTGTTCATATCAGATTACCTGACACAGATTTTTCAACCATAAACTGAATGATTGATTGATTTATATAATTGGATATATATTTTTGGCTCAACAAACATAATTAACCATGTGCTCGTGTGTGTGTGTGTCCGTGCTGTCCTCTTTGTTTACCTTTTCTTTACATTATCCACTGGTAATCCCATCGCAATCACTTGTGGGTAATTGCCTTGGGCAAGGTTGACTTACGGAAGTGGTTCCTAAAAGGCGCCGTGTATGTGAAGTGTATGAGGGTCAATACGAGTGGCGTAAAGTGGAGAGATGAGTCTCTGGAGTCTCATGGTAACTAACGCTGCAGGTGTTTCCAGTCTTTAAACTCCGGCCCAATGCGCTCCTTTTCCTCACCTTGAAAAATCTGGCCCGCACCTGATTTGAGTTTGAGACCCCTGCTTTAAGCCAAACTAATTTTCTCCTTACCGCTCGGGTTTTACATGAACTATAAAGCTATTAGAAAATCTTTAGCTTATCTTATTTTGGGCGTGAAAGGTGTATTTGTTTTATTTTTATTGCCACACACACACGATTCCATGACATCCCTGTGATGGGAGACAAAGGACTGTGATCGGTGGGGGGATCAAGATGCACCTTCTTATGAAACGAGCCTCCATGTGCTCAGGAAGAAAAACGCACATCTGCTTCTTCTGTCCCTCTTAAACCCGCGGCCTCACAGCGTCTGCTCGCCTCTGTCCTCCAGGAAGAACGTGGCCAGCAGTCCCGCAGATGTGGTGGTGACGGGTGGGGAGTCATCGCTCCACATCAAGACTCCCAAAGGCGAGCTGAGCCTGACTCTGCCAGCAGGAGTCACCTTCGAGCAGGGATCCTGCACGCCGACACCCGCGGGAGACTTCTGCGAGGAGGAGCTGCATTTCCGACTGCGCATCTGCGTCACACGAAGCCCGGACGAAGGTAACGTCCAGGACAACTGTGGGGAAACGCATCCAGACCACGTGCCAACCCCCGCCCCTTCCCGCTTTGCTAGACCAGTCAGCGCCAAGGCGAGAACAAAGTCTTTTTGGGAGCTATTTAGAGCTCGCTTTCTTTCCTGAATCAATTGTCTGATCGGCGTTTGACTGTGAAGATGTAGATTTGGATTTGCAATGGCCCACTAGCAACTGATCATCGGAGTCATGAGAATACTCCCCTTTTTAAGTTTTCCCCTCATATCATCAAATGCGTACCCCAGAGTAATTGCGTAATATCCACAAACTCCCATCTTTTTGGCATTTTTCCTGGCACTCCCGGGCGAAGAAGTTATTACAAAGGACACTTCTAGAGAAATCCAATCAATATCCCACTGATCGCCCGCTTCCTGTCCAAGCCACCTCCTCCAACCGGTGTTTTATTGACTTTGTGCTTTGCAGTATGAGGTTTCCATCCTTTCAACAAATGCGAGTCATTTATTTGTTTGCCTTTGGCGCTCCACAGAGGCTTCTGACAGCGCGATGGAGACACTCCGGGCCAAAGAGACTTATTGCTTCCACTGCCAGGGCTGCATGACCAGGCTGCTGGAGGACAGGTGAGGAGGAGACGGCGCACGAGCACTGTTGGAAACGGGGGTTTTATGTACACCCTCCTCGGCAGGAGGATGAGGAGCAGGTGTTTATGGACTGTGTGACCAGGCAGATGAAGGGATGGGACAGAACACTTGATGGCTGGATGGAGCCGCAGTCGTCGACCTGACTGGTTTAGAGTAACAGAGTCAGTGTGACGTAAAGGTCTGCCATTAAAAACCAATCGTTTCTCACCTTGAGGGGGTTGAAGCGGACCGTGGTGTTGTTGTTAAAACCCTCGGGCTTGCAGAAAAACATGCTGAAAATTGCAGTCGCTGTATTAAAGAGACTCTCGTCCTCTGGTGATGTTTCTCAGCAATGTTTGTTGCTCGGTGGGAAGTAATAAAGTCAGGAGAACTGCTGGCAGTTTCAAAGTACAACTTTGCCTCATTATGCATCAATATATTCTATAATATGGCTGATCAGAGGAATTAATGGCACCGAGAGTTTTGTGTGAATGAATAAACTAAATGTTTTACTAAAGCTGCTGCAATCAGTGTGTTATATGCACAATGGGTCCGATGACTGTAGGTAGTGGGAAATGGTCATAAGTGATGCTCCACAGATGAGTATCCGCAGTTGTACCGTTCCAGCTCGTTGTTTCGGTTCCGGAGCTCAAAAAAGCTGTTTTTTGGACAAAAAAAAAAAAAGTTTAATGAAACCTTTGCAAGTTACGAAGTGACGACGTTCATCAAACCGTGGTAAGTGAAGCAATGTGACCGAAAAACCCACCCACCACTGTCTGTGTGTTTTGTTTTTTTCTTGTGTGTCTTCAGAGAGTTTAAGCGAGTCCTTCCTCTTCCCAACTGCAACTGGAACGCCATCGTGGACGACTGGTGCTGCCACCCTGATCCGTTCGCCAACAGGAAGCTTCTGCCCCGAGCAGAGGACTGTTTGCTGGGCGACACCTTCCTCCTGCTGGCCAAAGATGGCGGCTGTGCAGAGACCCTCACCGAGGAGGTGAGCCTGATCGGCTCCAAGGACGGTCCAGATTCCAAGGTGAGGAAAACGAGCGCATCGATCTCTGATTGGTTTACAGGATTGTATAGATGTAAACCATCTGCAGGAGAGGAGAGGATGGTTTAAATGGTTAATTCAAGATTTGTTTTTTATATATGAGACATGGCTGGGCGAAAAACACGGGAACAACACGCTCTCCTTCTCTTCTAACACCAATCGTGGCTAAAGTTGAGGGCCTGTGTGCATTTTTCCCCCTGTGTTTCGTACAGAAGCCCTGCCGCCGACTGGCACTCATCTCCTGCAAGAGCTGTTCGTTGGTGCTGGGAGAGGCTGTTGCACCGGGTAAGAATCGCTCCGTGGATTATAATGATAGTCCTCGTTTGTCTTTTGCTTACGAGTGTTTTTTCCTCTTGTGCCTTGCAGAGACACTGAAACTGTACATCACACAGGTGGTGGTGGAGCCCGCTGTGGGAGACCGACAGCCCGAAGCCTCACTTAACAGGCAGGTTTTCATCCAAACTGCCAGTGGTGACGATTCGCCGTTTAAAGCGCGTTCTTTTCTGGGGAATAGATGAAGAGGGGGCCTTTTTCAATTCAGGCTTCAGAGTAAAATGTTTTGAATATTCCCGGCGGCTGCATACTTTATAGATAAAGCACACGGTTTAGCTTTTTTTCAGTCTTTTGGGAGCGCCTTTTTTTTATTTATTTTTTTTAAAGATTCCGTATTTGAACATAGTTTGTCTTACAGTTCTGTGTTCATAATTAGTACTGTGCTCACTCATGGCCATAAAACGTTATTTTTCCATAACTTTATCTTGAAAAGCTGCGGGTAAGAAAAACGCTTTGTCATCTTGCCGAAAGTGATCGATGCTTCCATTCTGTTTTAATATGAGTGCCTGACCTGGACGCCGATATGCTCTCTAAAGACGAAATGCATGAAGCAATGAGCGTGAGCTCCTGTGTACAGGTCGCTCTTCCTGCAGCAGACTGTCGCAGCCCGGCTGTTGGGGCTGTCCACCTCGCTGAGCACCTTCCACTTCTCCATCCAAACCCCCGACGGAAAAGCCTTCTTATTGGTAAGAACACCGTAGTCAGAGTAAAAATAGACTCCTCAGGTTGTTGATTAATGGGACAGGGTGAAATGTCAGGTTCTTACAGCAATACAAAAAGCTGATTGAAAGGGATTTTTTTTTTTTTTTTTAGCATAATGCCAGGCTTTCAGCTTCTTTAAAATCAGCAACAAGTGGCTCTTTGTAGAGCAACGTTGACACACCGCTGCACATCATTTACAGGAGGTTTGAGGGAAGCGTGCGCCATGGCATTTATGATCCAATGATAATGTTACTTCAACTGAAGCTGGCAGGGGATGTTTGTTTGCTCACCATTGCTCACCTAAAATATCTGTATTACACAAATGGTGCCCTTGTAAGACTTTAAACTGGAGACATTACATTTAAAACCCTTTTGAATTCTATAATGAATGTGAAATAAAAAATAAAACTGACCTGCGTTAGAGGTGCACAAAGGCACATGTTGTGTGCAGGCAGGCTTTTTCCCCTCAGCCTGTCTGTGTGTCTGTGTGTGAGCCCACAGCTCAGAAACTGTACTGTACTCACAGACATCCTTCAGCGCTTTTATATAACGTGCTCAGAAACTGTTTGTGTGCGTGCTGGCTGACCTTCGCAGTGCAGCAGCATAGACGTGTGCCAGGTAAATACAGGCTGGGGAGACCGTTCTGAGCTTAAGGACCCGAGGCAGACGCAGGCTCCCATCACCGCCTATAGACTCACTCAAACCGACGGCCAATCCCACGAGGTGGCGCGCGGTGGCCTCATCATGTCATGTGACCTCGGGTCCCGTGTGACCCCCGTCTGCCCCTCGCAGGTCTGGCTGCTGAACGGCGACTCGGTCACGGCGTCGGTGCCGGAGAGCTCCCTCGGCTGCCCGGATCCCCACGATCCGTCTCCCGGAGCCGCCCGAGCCCTGAAACTCCTCTACGCCTCCCCCTCCGACACAGGCGCCCAGCAGAGAGAGTAAGCAGAGCGAGCGCGCTCACCGCCTCCTCCTCCTCCTCCTCCTCCTCCCCCTCGTTTCAATCCCCCCCCCCCCCCCTCTTCCTAATCTTATCCTTTCATCTTTCCAGCGCACCCTCTCAATCAGCACCTGTCTGGGCTCACTGCGAGGGGGATAAAAGAATACTTTGTTGACGACCAGATTCTTCCTCGGCTTTGAAACCCTTTCCTCTGAGGGTCCCTGCTCGCTCATAATTGTCTTGTGTGGGGGTTTTTTTGTGTGTTTTTTTTTTTTTTTTCGCAAACGAGATTGCAGTCAACAGTGTTTATTGTGTCGGCCGCAGGAGCCGCGCTCGCGTGCGTTGCGCCCACACGGCGGGTGGTGCTTTGACAGAGCGAGGCTCGGCGTTCCTCGCCGCGATGCATTAGCAGAGGTGTAGGTGGATGAGCCGCGTTCGTGTTCGGTACAGCAGCACCCCACCGGAAGAGCCTTCCACCCCAATTATTTTCAACTAAATCAGCACTATGCCTTTTTTCCCTCCTCCTCCTCCTCCTCCTCCTCCTCCCTGCATCGGGTGAAGGCAGAACAGAGACGTTTTGTTGTTTCGACTGTTTTGACAAGCCCAGTAGCGGAGAAAGGGTAATTAGTGGTAAGACTCGCATGAGAGGAGACAGGCTTGTCTTACTGTAAGCAGCCAGAGTACATTTCAAATGACGTGATGGACTGTAGGAGCTGAATGATGCATCGGAAACCGCTCCGCCAGAGGTGCACGCCTGCTGCCAACAGAGAAGTCCTTCCCGGGAAACAAGCCGCGACAGCACATTTTCACTGGCACATCTGTTTCCGTAAAGGGAGAACTTTTCTTCACTGTTTGTGAATAATGTCATACTGCAGATTTCAACTTATGCTCTAAAATAAATGAATCCAGTGATTCTGCCTAAAGTTTAGAGAGAAAAACGGATGCGTGCAGAGCTGATGTGAAGTGAAGTCTTTGCTCTCTGTGTTTCTAAATTACTTTGATTGAGCAGACACAGATAGCCATATACGTGCAGCGCGCTAATATAATCTGCCGGACTAAAATATTAATGATGATAAATATGTTTTCTATATTTAGAGCATCATTAAAATGGCAAATGGCCATGTTAAGATATTTACCGTGTTTGCACTGTAGTGCTTTTGCCACCAGTAGTTGCTAGCCAACCGCTCCGCTGCCACGGCGTTGACGTCTGTGCAGAGACTTTCCCGCAATCACAGATGTGTTCTAAATGTAGAATTCTGCACCTTTCTGTAAAGTGCTTCACATTTGGGCTACTGCCACCTTTCCCTGATGTTTCTCTGAAGTCTTGCAGAGCTAAACGCCGGTGTTACTCACACTTCAGTTTCAGTTCGACATCATTTACCGACCATCACTCATCTTTGACACTTTCAAATTAAATGGGGAGCTGAATTCCCTGGATGATGCCCCCCTTTCTCCGGGATACAGTCGGCTGCGGCCCAATGTTGCCGCGAGTGTTGTTAAAACTACCAATAATTGGCTGGAGAACCGGCGAGCAGGCGCCTAAGTGGATTAGTCTTGTCACTAATGGCGTTGACTCGATTATGAGTTGAGTGGAAGTTGCAGGCACCATCACAGTCGGGTGCACCGTGAACGAGGCCTCATGCATGCGGAAATTGAGTCTAGTGGAAGTTTTATTGGCGACTCCTTTTTCTGTAGACTTCATTTTGTGCAATCAAAACACTGGAATTACATTTCCATGCACAAAGGATGGATTTGATTTGCCGTGTCAACAAACCTTATTGCCCCCTCAGTCCTCTTCTTTTCTCTCACACAAAATAAATGTTGACACCATACACACACTCATCATCATCATCATCATCATCATTACCATCCATCCACTTTTATGCGTCCCCCTTTATCAAGTACAGGTTATGGTTAATAGCTTAATTAAAGCTTCGAGGCAAATGCTTCGACGCGGTTTACAGCAGCTATACAGCTGGCATTGTCTCTGTTGTGTAATGCTGTGTGGATATTATAAATCACTCCTGCTTTACCGTGTGTGTGTGTGTGTGTGTGTGTTTCCAGCATTGTAACGAGCTGGGAGGCCAATGCCATCGGACATCCCGTGGTGCTGCCGCTGAGTGTGTGTGAGGAGCTGCTGCAAGTGATCGATGACAGCAACTCCACGCTTCCTGCGTCCATGTGCTGCATGAGGTCCTATGAGGTGAGACCGTTATTATGTACGAAAGATGATGATGATGGCGACGAAGACACGCTAGTGTCACAACATTTTTTTTTTTTTTTCAATTTGTGAAAAACTTTTCTGGGATACATAAGCTGATGAAGGTGTTTAGATTGAATTGTGTCCTTATCCTTAGCTGACAGTAAGCACTTATTTCACATACTTACAGCACCCTGTTTATCCGGTATTCAGCAGTGCTTGACTGGCGCTTTCATCATTTCACGATTCAGAGCTTTTCGGTTCACAGCTTCGGCAGAGGGATTATGTGGGTCAAATGTAAGGTTTTACTTTTGTCAGCCTGTTTCCAGCTTCTCTACACCTGTAATTGTGCAAAATGTGTATATTTAGCTTGAGTTGCAAAGGAAAGGCCTTTGACCGCAAAATGAGAGGTGCGTTGGTTTTGCTGACAACTCCATTCTCCCGGCCCTTTTAAACACAGTGGTGGGTAATTAGCACCATTATCCTCCACCTCCTGCTCCGAAAGTTTAACAACTGACTACCTCCACTTTCTTAAGCTTTCCATCTGCTAAAAAGTCTGCAAGTAGGAATAATAAAATGTTGGCTGGCCGTAGAAGAATAAGTGTGTGGTTGGACGTCATGTGAAGCTGCTTTTGTTATATTACCGAGACAGGAGTTGGAATACCTCCTTTCCTCAAAATAATAACCTATGCAATAATATATTTTCATGTAACATTAGTAACAAAATGATTCTGTGTGAGGATAAAACATTAAAGCGAATGGGGGTCTTTGTTTTGATGGACGCCTTCACTCCGTCTTTCTTATAAATACTTAAAACGTTAATACAAGTATAACCAGCTTTGTAGTGGAAGAACAGTGGTAATCCTTTATTTGCATATCTCCTTCATGGATCATCACCTAGCGAGGCTGCCAACTTACTTTCTTTTATCCGTGACAGCTTAAGTCACAGCCTTTGAAACCGTATACGTATTCATCCATCAAGTATATATTTTGGACCATTTCACAGGGTTCTGCACAGAATCCGCCATTAGCCTTTTCAGACAGAAACGAGAAGCTCATATTTTTAATTGACCATTTCGTAAATCATATCCCCGTTTCAAACCTCACCTCCGATTTAGAGTTGTAAACCTGACACCCTAATTGTAAGGTTGGCACATATGTGCAATACAAGAATGGAAAGCTTAAAATAGCAGCACTAAGTTGGACAGTGATCGTTCCATAATAGCAAAAGGTTTTGCTTTTTCTCAAACACGCTTCCAATATGAAATCCAGCAGCGTGTCACCTTTTCTAAAATAAGTGGAGTGGAGGGCTCAATCACACCAGAATGCCGGTCTAATTATTTCACACCCAGTGGGCTCCTGTCATGCCATCACTGTATTGTGCCTCACGCCGCTTTCCACTTTCTCCTGTTCTGCTCTCACAGCGCAAGCACCGAGAATTTCAAACTGAGACTTGTCTCGCACATTGGGGATCTAGGATTGGGGGGGGGATTAGGAAACCATTTCACCGAAATTAGGCTGTGCTGAAATGGAGAAGGCCCGGACACATCGGTCTGCTGCAAAGTGGAGTGCGATAAAGCGCCACACTTGAGCCCTTCCTGATCGCAGACGCTCTACAGATCACGGGCCCATGTTCAGTACCGGAGATGGTCGGACAGTCCATGTTCACAATGCAGTTTTAAAAACTCGGGCAACTCGGGCCAGAATGACCAAAGTAGAGGACCAGCATGCAGTGGGGTCCTGCCGTTGCTCTTTTAAAGGCCCAAGTGAGCAATCTCCTTTATCGCTTGACAACAGCAACTGGCATCGTTCTTCACAATCACTTCCGCCTCATTCAAAGGAAAATCAGATCTTCAATGGCTACGATAGTACTTTGCTTGCTCCACACGTGCGATATAATCTCTGCATGGATCGATCCCAGCCATTCTGAATCACTGACTTTAAAGAGAAAACGAAGACCTCCCGTCTGGTTTTGTCCCCATGCTTTGTGAGATCACCAAACTCTCTGTGCTGCTGGACTTTCAATACGTCATGGCTGTGTAAGCACAGGTGTAACTAATTGTCACGGTACTAAATTTAGATGAGCCAGTTCCAGGACTCGCTGGTCCACTTAAAGGTAACGAGCCATCATTAGGATCATCATTAGCGATGCTATGCCACGATGAGTCAAAATGCCTGCTGTGCATTAGAATTCTGCAGGCCAATGAGGTGACAATCTAGCACCATGTGTACGTATACACTACTGAGGTTCATTAATAATGAGCGTCAGGCTCCTGCTATTGTGGACGCTCGCTCACTTTCAAAATGTCTGCTGTGAAGGCCGAGTCCACCAGCACCCTGGGACCGGCTCACCTTAATGGCTTGCTGTTGTCACGGTGATTAATTAGACCAGGGGTGTTGTTGAATCTGAGATATGAGTGAGGAAGGGGGCTAGCTAGCAGCTAAGCTAACAAGCCCGCAGCAGGCCGAGGCTAGATTCTCTATTCTTAACCACTATCTGACCTCTGTGCAAAACTTCACGGGGTCAAGGAAAGATGGTTAGGAGAATCCATGAGGAGTTAGGAAAAGACAGCCGCAGTCTGAAGGCAACCCGACTCCACTTTGAATAAGCTTAGACGCTTAGTGACGTCAGTCTGCAGCGGCCAAACTACAATTTTTACAAAGAAGTATCTTTCAGACAACATAAAACAAGCAGGATCAAGGTATTACTTTGAAGCTCCTTTCCTTTAGCATTATACAACTCAAGCAGCTCTTATCATGACGGCCACTTACACTACTTCCTACTAAGTACTGAAGTTAGTTAAAAGTGTATCTCAGCAGCTTACCTGTGTATATATATATATATATATATATATATAATGATGAGCTCTAACAGCCTAGCCCATCTATTAACCACACTAACACAAGGTCTGCAGGTAACTGTTTTGAAGTGTGTGTGAGAGAGAGAGGGATCATTTCAGCCCTGAAAATGGATCAAAGCCTGCACCGTGACCCAGCCTGTTATTATCCTGCATGTGGAATGTCTACTGTTGTCAGGGCCGCTGCGTTCCCCGCCCTCCCTCCCTGCGCCCGCCGGTGTAGAGGCGTGTAAAGTGGCTCCAGCTCCGAGTGTCACTCTTTAGCTGGGGAACAGACAACGCCTCCCTCCTCCCCGCACCTCGTTAATCTCCTCGTCACTCCCACTGAGACGGCATGTAAATTAGACCGAGGCTGAACTTAAAAAGTGCAAAAACGCTCCACAAGGAAGAGCCGATGGGCTGTATGGATCATATGAATCAATGCAATCTTACTGCATTGGTTGCAGCATGTGACGCCATTAGCCTGAGGTAGTTGTGAGTTATGTGCAGGATGCCTATTAATGTCCAAAGTAGTAGTTACCAGCAATTTTAGAATGACTACTCATACCTTCGTCACCACCCATCACATTCCAAATGTGCTCATTTCTGTCTGCGTTACAGTGAATGTCACGACACAACATACAACATTTCTTCCTACAAATTGCCAGTGATTTTGCCTGCATGTGCATCGCAAGAGTTGAATGTACTTCTAGCAAGCTGTTTATGGATAACCTTTAGCCAACGCTTTTGACTAGTCATGCATTGCTTTAAAGTTCTATGCTACCTCGTTAAATTGTTGTCATCAACTGGCAGCACATGTCTTAAAGGTGTTCATTCATGACTACCTCTGGTTAAGGGGGGGGTGTATTATACAGTGATCTTATTGTAGTTGGTCGCTTACACGTTGTTGTGAGTTGCTGAAGACCAGCTTGACACCAATTGGTCATTTCTGATTTTTAATTTCGTAATCAAAATTTTTTTCAGCCTTTCTGGCCAGGAGTTGCTGTTAAGAATGTCAGGGGATGTTTTTAAATAATTATTTGAACCCCTTACGCCTCTTTTAACTAACAATACAGTACAACAATGCTGCTCATTAGTTGTGTGCATTAAAAAATATGAAACATACAAACTGATTTTAATTTGATGGTAAATGCATACACCCGCTGCTCAGGTTAATGCGTAGCTGTGACAAAGGGACGGATCAGTCCATGTGTCCCGTGGCACGCCGATGTGCTGCTTGCATGGATGTGCAGGAGTGTTTGATTGTAACGTTTGTGTTTCCAGCATTTAGCTGCAAAACAGAACTGCAGTCACTGAGTCCCGGGATGTAAAGGATGTAAAATCACACCCGCTACAGGCAAACTGAGATCCCCTCTCTTAGTCAACTATCCTCTCCTCAGGACGGGGTTGAAGTCCTACGCGACAACCCTAATTATGTCTGTCAGTGACTTGATCCTTGTCCACCTCTGCTGTCTGCTGGAGCTGCAGGACTTCCCCGCTCGGCGTGGTAGCATCAGCTGCAACGTGTTTCTTTGAAGAAACATTCTTCGTGCTGCTTGCCAAGTTGGAAGTGTTCAGCCAACAGACCCGGCCACAAAGGCCTCAAAGAGTATGCGTCTGCTCAAAAGACTCTCATGCCACTGTCTCAGAACCTTTTAATACCCAGACATCTGCCCTTGTTCAATAAAGGCCCTTCTACTAAAGAGCTGCAAGAGCTTTGCCGTGAAGTTCTAAATGGTGCCACGCTGAGGCCTTTTCAACGAGATCAAAGAGTAACACGTTTTAAGCATATTGCACTGTTCTGGGAAGACCTGCTATCGGCAACGCTAGTAGTTGTAATGTGATTTTCGCAGTGCCCGTTGAATTATCTGAACCTTTTTTGTGTGGTGTCTTATGATCTCAACAGTTGGGATCTTTTAAAAAAGAGGAAAAAAATGTGCTCAGCAGAAGGAAGTAAGTGGAACACTCATTAGTTTGACTCCAAATCCTAAACAAGGGAGTGATGATCTCTCGGCTGTTTGTTTTCACATAAAGCCTAACAGTAGTTAGCTTTTTCTAGCATTGGCTTCCAACCAGCATGAAGATTAAAATACCCCTTTAACCCATTCCAGCCCTATTGGGAAACATGAAACTTCAGGACTTGTTCAGGACTTGTGGTGGTTTGGCTTCTCTGCTTGGCATACACATGATGTGTTCTCCCTGCCCGCTCATCACTCCACGCCCTAAGTTCTGATGATCAGATTTCAGAGGAAAGAAATCATAATTGGATGTTTTACTAGCTGTGTTTATCCGTGGGCCTTTTTTCAGTGCAGATTCAACTTATTTTCCCTGTGTTTTCTTTTAACTCCTGGTCAAATTTTATTTAGAATGCCAAAATGTACCGCTACTATCTCCTCCAGTCTCACGCATCTACTCGTTTGGGATTCCCAGTGCAGCCCTAATGTTTGAACCTGTACGGCTCCACAGAATGAGTTGTGGGTCAAGAGGAGCAAGATACCCTCTCCCACCCTTTTCCCAGCATCAACCTCGGAAACCCTCCGGTTTTCTTACTCAGCCTCTCTCGCCCGTCTAAGGTTCCCGTTGCTCTAAATCCTCCTTACACACACACACACACACACTGTGTTATTGTTTTCTCACTCCTGAGCTCACCTCTAGTTGCAAATTTCCCATTGATGCGCTCGAGTGGTGAGCAGATACTGGCATGGGGATGGAGAAGACGGGGCCTTGAGTGGGGCGAATGCCCTCATCCATCATCACGGTTTAGAGCTCTCAGTGGAGCGCAATCATTGTCTGCAGCAGGCAAACACCCAGGAATAGCAGATGGTGGGAGAAAACGGAAGGGAGGGAAGGCAGAGCTGATCAGTTTTTCTCCACTTTGTTTGTCTGCATGTGTGTTTTTCTGAAGTTGATTAAATCACTGCCACCAGTGTTTTTTGTTGTGTGAAGACAGTAATGGAAGATAATGTGCTTCTGTGCGGATCAGCAGACCTCAGAGATGCAGTGCATCAGTGCTTGGGGGAACACACATCCTCATTGTACAGGACTAACCAGAGGTTGTTTTTGTTTTTTAAGGTTATTCTGCTTTTATTTTATTTGTATGTAATTTACCATTTTCTAAATGTTTCCCTGTTTTCCGTAGGTGGCGTATCTGAGACTGTGAGGTCAAAAGGCCGATGCCAGGAGGTTCGGACTCCACTCGTTCCTCTCAGAGAACACATGCTGTACGCTTGTGTACGTTAAGGTCATATCCTGCACAGCTGTCTAGTAAGTAGGAGGTTGCTGCAGAAATAAAACGCAGCAAGCCTGGAATAGTTTTTTCTTTCTATTTTTTTAAATCCAAACTAGTTGTGTCGTCTAGTGGCCTCTCCACATGTTTGCTAGTGTCGTCACCTGCAAACCAATTCATGTTGAAACAAGGCAGCGCGTCTAAATGTTAAAATGTAGTCACTAAATGTAGAACCGGATGAGATTCACGGGACAGGCTCTTTTTTTTTTTTTTATCCTAATGTACCATTATATTGGCATGTACCATAGTGGCTGAAGACCGCGTATGTGTACATTGTATGTTTCCCCATTTCTAAGCTTTATTTTTGTCTTTTTCATTCTCAACAAACAGATTAAACTGTTGTATTTTTTTAAAGATTCCCTCCTTTCTGTTTTCTCTGCTGGAGAGCACTACTGGTTGAGATGTGGGACGTTGTTCTTGAGTTGGCTCTCCATGAAGGCTTATTATAGAGGCACTTCAGCCCCAGGGTACAGCAGTCCACCCTCCACTTGAGTGTAATTGCAGCTTGTGTAGCAAGGTGATTTTAGTCTCGTTGTGGCTTTATTTGTGTGCCAATGACTGATGGTATTTATGTAACATGCGTGGTAACGAGAATCATTGGGGAAAAGTGTCTAGTTAAACACTCTTCACCTCCTCATGTTCATCGCGATGTGTGCTGGTCAAGTAGCTCTTACATTATGTCAAAGTGGGTTTTACACATGAATCTGGCGATGGCAAAGACCATCTCATTTGCTCAGTCCAACACTGACCAAAGACTATGTTTAAACTATTGTCTCCCGACGAGCATTTCTATTCAGGCATTCATGGTTCCCAGAAGATGAATCGTATTGACTTTGATGATCCACTGACTTTCCCGATAGCGGCATCGTGCATTTGACTGTTTTCGTCTGTGAAATGTAAACTGGCACCAAAACATCAGATGGATTGAATGATCCATTTTTCTACACACATTCATGGTCCTCAGGGGTTAAATTCTACTTATTTAGATTAGGGCTGCCCAAAGTACTCCACGGTTTTATTTGGCTTGTTAGCTGTTTCTAAGTAAGAAAAGAAAAATTAAGCGACAGAAAAAGTGTCATTTCGATTTTGAGTCTCCTTAATAACGTAGGTTATTTATAACATTGAAATATTTGCCCTCTCTGAATAAAGTCTGGGCTCCCCTGATTTTAGATGATCCCCTGACTTTATCTTATTAAAGCAGGGAAATTTCTCAACATAGTAACAATTATGTATTTTTGTATTAAATTGTGTTGAGTTAGTCTTTAAATGTAAATCATGTGTTTTTATTTAGGTACACGTTTCTTGACTTATTTAATGATATGTGACATTTGAAAGCTTTGACTTTTCCTGCGAATCAAGGTGAGGCCATTTGGACTTTGTTAATAAGCCATGCTTTGTGCCGAGCCAGGTCAGGTTCAGTTAAGCAAAGAAACCAGGATCTGAAACGGCTCCTGATCACTACTGGGGCTTACGATGCCGTCCCCTCTACTCTGCACATAGTCTGCATCAGTTATCGCTGACCAGCAATGCAGCATCATTTGTACTTGCATGTCTATTTTAGTTGCGGCGAGGGCACCATTTTTTCCCCGCTCCTAAATACATGCCTGAATCTGCTAGATTCTCATGCGGCAAAAAGGACAATTACGTTAAGGAATCCAAAGAAGTATTGTGGCCACTAAGGTGGAAAGGCATTGAGTGAATTGGCTAATTAAATACATCCAGCGCTGAACCGTCAAGGGGTTCTCATTTTCTTCCTGCCCTTTCTCCACAAGTGCAAATGAAGTAGGCCCCAAATAACCTATTTGTTTCAAGCCCGCTGAGCAGAAGGAGCTACTCCACATTACGTGCCGCTGCCGCTGTTTTGAACACACCGAAAGACGCAGTCACCCAGGAGCCATAAAGAGTTTCAGACAGTCTTTGTCTTTCTACCCTTGAAGGACGATGGAAGTGTCAAATTAAAAGTTTTTTGGCCAGTATCTTCTGTTGACACTGTGCAGCTCATTAGCTTTTTCAGTTATCATGAAAAGATCAGTCTGAATAAAGGTCTACTCCATATTCAGCCTTAGTAATTACTTGTTCATGGCTTGAGGACAGTTTTTGCTCGCTCTCCTTATTCATGTGCACAGTAGGTTTGAGGGTAAAAGGGAAAGAATATCCAACTATAGTCACAGATTTGAGCTGTTGCTTCAAATTCCTGCTGAGGACTTTAAGTTTAAGTCTTTGGACAGACCTCTTTGTTGTCTGTACGTATGCTTGTAACATTGATCTTGGTGTACTTCATGTTTGGCCACCCCTGTCTAACGTACAAATTAGCATTGGTGACCAGTCCTTATTTTTGATGAAATCCCATTGTAGGGTATTATCAAAATATTTGGCTATAAATGGCTATAAATGCATCTGCAGCTGAGGGCATGTATTTTGTGTCTAACTGAAGAAATCTTTGACTTTCTCATTGCACTAGATTAAAAGGTTTTAATTTACCGAGGTTGAGCCAATTCATTCTAAGGGGCACATACATGGGTATACCTGATATGCATGAGGAATATCTGCACCAAGTTCCATGGCAATCCATCTAATACTTTACATACTTTTCACAAAAATTTGCTTCTTATTGGTGGAGGAAAAGTTGGGATCGCCAAAGTCCGTGGGGTTCATCTGTAGGGAATGTCTGCAATATTCATACCTTCAAATTTGTCCCTTTTTTGGCGAAATGTGCCTTTTTAAAATTAAAAATATTTCCTCCAACTCAATCTTGTAGATCCAGAGTTTTATTTTTTTTATATCACCTGAACCTAATACTGCATATGCAATTGAGTCGTATTTTACTTGGCAAAGCCGAATTAAAGTGAGAGAAATATGGAGGAATAACCTCTCAGCACCTGGATTGGTACTGAAGAGTGTAACTCGTCACCCAGAACTCCGCTTCCCCCATGACTCCGCCTCCCATTGGAGAAAAATGTCTGTTAATACCATATGTGACATCCCACATATGGAGTGATCAAGTCTACGAGCGCCACAGTATGAATTTCAAATTGGATTTTCCGGTCCTTTGCCTTTGCTAATGTGTTTGATATTATTTTCGGATTATGTGAGACAGCGATGTGTGAGATTACACCGTGGCCCCTGTACAAAGAAAGAAAGATCCTTTTGGGGAAGGTCAAGCCATAAAGCTCGTCTCGTCTCCAAGAGGAAATGAGGCATCAGATTGAGTTCCTGTTTTAGTCACCCAATCCTAATGGTTCATCTATCCTCAGAATCTGCAAAACAGAGATACTAGTCTTTTTTTCTCCTTTTCTGAGTCACTATTAGGGTGAAATGTCAAGACAAAAGCATAAAAGGTTTTGCTTTTGCGCTTCAATAGCTAAATATCGCCAAAGAAGACTTGGGATTTACTTGGGTTGAACCCGTCTCTCTCTGTGTTGGCTGGGATTGACTCCTGGCCCCCCGCGACCCTCTAAGTTTAAATTCTACAAGGTCCAACGAGAGGATTCTGTCATGCAAAGATACAAAATATCAGAACAATGTGTAACTTGTTCCACATATTGAAGAAGCAGATGTTTTAATGTATATTGTCAACAACTGTGTGTCAAATCAAATAAAAAAAAGTTAAATTGAGTATCTCAACAATATTTCTTGTGAATCTTTTTGAACTAGGTTAATTATAAATAATTATTATGCATTATTTATAATTTACATCGTCATTTCAAATATTGATTTCTTTTTGTCAGGCCCATATTGATTAAAGAAATAATCTTTTTGGAGAAGGCCATTTGAAATAACTTCTCTGACTCATTTATCCGACTATTGTTCAACCTCTGGTCCAGTCTTTCCTGTGCGTTGATCTCACTCGCGTCGGGAAGTTTAGAAGAATATTTGAAACACATATTGAACTGGCTGTGTGTATAAGGCATGTAATTGGTCAGTGGGTTTCCTGTAGCTCTGAATAAGTGTTGTGAAGCTGGCCCAGTTAAAATTGCAGCACTCAGACAGAATTCTATATAATTTTCTAATGTTTTTCGGTCCAGATCCGGATGCAATGGCTCTGGGTGAGCGTGGACCCCGGCCCGAAGAGTGACTTTGGCCTTATTAGACGTCCCTGCGTTTTTGTTGTACCCTGCTTCCAACATGGAAATATCTCAACAAGCATTGGAGAGATTGCCATGAAATTCTGGGCATACGTTCATGATACCAATTACTTTTGGTTATCTCTTGAATTTTTCCTTAGTAATCGCTTAAAATGTCTGGAATTAAATGTCACTAAATGTTGGATGGACATTCATGGTTCCCAGATGATGTATCCTAAAAACTGCGAATTCCTGGAAAAACTGTTTTTTTCCTCTTTTGTTTACTTGCTAACACTGTCCTTGTGATCGTGTCAGTTTTTAATCTGGTTTCCTCCAAAATAATACTGTCCACGTCTCTCACTTCCCCCGATTGCCCCATAACTAACAACCACCACCCCACCTCCCATACATCCGCCTGTCTCTCTTCCCTCTGCAACTCCCCCATCTTGGCTTTCTAACAAGGCATGGGGCATATCAGTGGAGCCTTCGGGGGCTCATTAGCTTGTCCATTGGTCTTAACAAGTCTCATTGGCAACCTTTGAGCAAACCCATGCCAAGCCTTCCAGCAGGACAGGCCTCAGTGTCAACCAGCTCCCAGAGAAGAATGATACAGCTGCCTCAGTGAGCACGAGGCAAAAAAAAAAAAAACAACTCCAAAAAGAAACTAGGAAAAATCCCTTTTCATAATTATCATGCTTGTGACAGCAGCTATGACAGAGAGAAAACGGCTTACTATGATGAGTGCCTGGTCCAATGGGAGAATACAATGTGTGAAAATCATACTTGTCACATGCGTCAGCAATATTTATGTTGTTTTAGGTTGCAGACTGCTGCTTTTTTAAATTAAAGCTAAGAAAGCGCGTACTGAGTTGAATGCTCTGGTCTGACGGACGGGAGACATTTTGAGCTGACAGCTGACTGAGGAGACGGAAGCCATGCTGGAAGTGTGGTGTTAGAATACCGTCCCTGCCGCTGCTGCAGCCCGTATCTCCTCCCGCCCGAGGAAAGATGAATCGGGTGCTGCTTCCGAGTCTGGAGACCGAAAAGCTTTTGTGTCTCTGTCGGGGGGATTCTTATCAGCGGCTATGTTCGCTATGTATTATGGGAAAAATAAGAAGTTATGTTTCCGGCTGCTGTAAATCTGCTTTTCCTGGAAGGTACAGTGTGGGTTTGTTGTCTAGAAAATTCTCTAAAGGTAATAGATGGGCATCAATTTAAAAAGAAAGAGGAAAGTATCAATATAAAGGACCACATCTAGTGGATTAAAGACTTTTTTCCCCCACGATTGAAATCTTCTAACTATTTAGCAAAGCTAGATCATTAAGCTGTGTCCCGTGAGTGAGGGGACAGCTATATGGACTGCTGTGCTGCTGCTGCTGCTGCTGCTTCGGGGGGGATCTAAATGGGGGAAGGATAGAATTGGGCACAGGAAGAGATGGAGAGATGTTAACGACAGGGCAATCTGTCAGCCCTCACGGCTGAGACAAATGATCCTATCTACCCAGACTCATGTTTCCTCTGCACGCCACCGGGGTACCACGGCAGCGTGGTGTGGCCATGTTGGACCTTTTGAATGAAAAGTGGACAAACCGTAGTAGAGAGTTGTAAGTGCCGTAAGCCTCCGATCTCAGAACTCATGTTAAATTATTTAATATCACTGAAGTCTCCTCTGTTCTTTGCTGGACCCGATTCACAGGATAATCCCAACTTCTTCCACCCAAATCACACATTCTTTGCTTTGCTTCAGCTGGGCAATTTGTACCAATTTACATCTTTTGATGAACTTTCTATGCAAACGTGCAACCCCTTAAATTAGCTTTGTGTTTGGTCTAAGCGTAACAGCCATGCTAGCGGCTCTTTTACCACTTTTAACCAAGAGGAGCTTTGAGGTAAATGCTAACATCGGCATGCTAACATTGTCCCAAGGACACAGTTACACCAATATACAGGTGGTAGGTTTATCTAAGTAAGCATGTTAGCATGCTAACTTTGGCTAATTAACATACAACACAAAGCATATGGCTAATTAGCTTTATGTGTTATGGACCTGTGTATTGGATAAATGAAGTAACACACGTTATTAAAATAAATCCTGACAATAAGTTATGAATTGCTGCAAAATACATTTTATAGCCTATTTTAAAGTATTTTAGTTTCGATCAACAGTTGTAGCAACACACACGATACAGTTTTCACCCCAAACGTTAAAAAACAAGCTATATTATTATCATTACAGCATTTGTAAATCACAAGAGAAGCTACAGCCAGGGTGAACAAAGCGAACAGCACACATTCGCGCAGCACATTGCTCTGCTGTCCTCTCCCTCTCCTTCTGCAGGCGTTTTGGCTGATTGTAGCCCCGGGATAAAGAGGCCCTCTGTTTGTGTAGCCGACCTGACCCCTACAACCTTACAGCAACTCGTCCTTCTCGCGATAAACCCAAGGAAAGAGGAAACCTGGAACAGAAGCGGATGATAGGCAGAGACACGTTCCCACTGGCCAACTGGGAACGGTTTCCACGGTCCACTCGCTACCCCACAGAGGTGACAGGTGACGGGGAGAAGGTTTTCATTTTTAGAGCATCGTCTCGTCACCTTTCCCCCCCTGCCTCCCTTTTTCTGCTAAAATATATACTTACAGCTTAGGAGGAGCAAATGACTATAATGATCTTTGAGTTTTTTCCATTGCCTTCTTTCTGTATTACTCGCCTTACTTGTCCCAGTAGCACGATGGATGTTTTACAAAGGTAGGAAAATTCCACGAATGAAACGGCTAGCAACCATTAAGGATTTATCACTGGTTGAAACTCAGTTTTTCTGTCACAGAAGAAACATCAAGTTTCACCCTCTCCACAATTTGTACAGTTATTTTCAGCTGTTCGTAGCTAAATGTTGGACCTGCTTGTCTCCATAACGGTCGATCCTCACGATGTCGTAATGCATTGTGTCTACTTTAATAGCTTTTATAACAAAGTTAGGACATGATCCACTATGTGGAGACTGAATCATGGTCACGATGGGAAGCGTTAATGTAATTTTTGCAATGGAAAGTAGGAGGAAAGAACACCCCTTTAATCTAATTGAAATGTAGTTGCTTAAAACAACTTAACTGTTAAAGCAGCACTGTATTGCTGCTAAAAAGAGAAGCAACATCCTTTTTCTCTGATTAATAAAAAGTTGCAATATAAAGCATCCATGTTAATTAGCTTATAGTGGCTGATATTGGAAAATTATACAGATTTAACTTAGTCTGACTTAACGTACTCAGCTAACTGACTTCATTGGGCATCTTTTACGTCACATTTTAAATTAAAATGCTTATTTCAACACAATATTTCGTGAGAGCAAGCTAAAATCAAGTGTAATGTGTGGCGTTTGTCAGGCTTTAGTCTCACATCTCTCCACTGTTACTCACGCCACTAAATGACGCCTCTTGGGGAAGTCGGCGTCTCAACCAGGGGATGTTATTACAGCAGCCTTTTTTCCTCTTGATCTTTCTCCGTCTCTTACTTGGCATCCCGTAGCTCCTTTATCACTCCAACAGCTCCATCGCCACATCACAGAGGCGCTCAAAAGACCAGACTCTCGTCACTCCCGTTCTTGTGTTTTCACGTTGTGGTGGTAAACACGCAGCTCCTACAACCTGGGGGGGGGGGGACTAACCGGCCAGTAGGGATGGTGGTGTGATTACAGTAGCATGCACAGCCGATCCGTTGTCATTAACATTTTACACACTCCTCTTTGTAACATCAGTGTACCACAGTATTACTGCCTGTGGGTTTTGCCAGCAGCCATGCCAGCGCTGGTCAGGATCAGTGCTGATGAAAACTCTGCTAATGGGCACAAGGAGGAAGTGTTTCATTTCCTCACAGCAGCTGCCTGCTTGACTTTGTGGACTCTTACACACATGCACACACACACACACACACAGACACACATAGGCACATTAATTAATGTTTGCGTTCACTTGATGTCCTTGAAGGTAAATGTGCTCGCCATCACAGCTCTGGATTTTCAAAAAGTTCTAAATACTCTATTTCAAAACACTGAAACCATCTTTGTAAACTGAACATGCGTGCACATAATAAACCATCCCATTTGTATGTATTTGGTCAGGTTATGTATTAAAATATTAAGAGCAGATATACTATAGTTGCTTAAGTCTATTGTTATTTTGAGATATGAAGAAATGTCTTGTAATTCTCTGAATCATGAACTAACAACACAATCAGAAAAAAACGTTTCAGGGTCTCGATAAAATTGAAAGATTTCTGTTCTGGATCACAAATGGTTGTGAGGAAGTATTCATATCCTCCCATAACATGTTTTATTTGATTGGGCATGATGTAGTCATATTTTTAGGTTTGCACACCATATACATAAAAACAGCAATGCTATGATTACCATATTAGCAATAAAAATTGATAACGGTAAAATTCCCAGTAATAATATGAGCAACAGTCGGGTGTCATAGCTGCCTCCTGGTTGGTTTATTTAATATTAATGCAAGACTGACTGACTAGCCTTTTAGTGATAAATATTTACGCGTACT